ACTGCAAACGTAGCTGCAATTCTCCTTGTCTTCTCTTTCTTTCCACCTTTCCCAAAGTTATATATTTCTCCAGAGAGCTGCATCTTTGGAAACAAATCAGGTTTCCAAAGTTATGACAATTTGAACCTGGTCATTTGTCTCTCAAGTGAGAACTCTGGGTTGTTTTGTTTAATAAGTTTGTTTGGCTTCTTGGCTATCCATGATATTCTCAGGAATTTTCAATACCAAAATTCACAGGTCTCTTAATGTGCTGTAGTGCTTTGTAAACCCACTCTTGGTAGATTATATACAGACATATAAATAAGTTCTGGAATATATATATATATTTAGAGGAATGAGAAAACTTCAAAAGGATCCTAACAACAGAGAATGCAAACTTTTCTTTCCATTTCAGAACATATTAAAAAAGCTGATAGTGTATATTGCAGTATCTTCTTTTTCTATGCCTCAAGTATTTTTTTTCAATAGTCATTTAAAAATGAATAAATATTGGATTATGGGATATGAATATTTATACAAACTTTAAAATTAATCAAAGAAAGCATGCCCTGTGACATGAAAATGGAACGTAACTTGAGAGCTGAGTCATTGTTCTGTTCACTAATAGGCTTATCTATCATTTAGTGATGAAGGGCCCTGTCTAAAAAAGGCATTATGATAGGCTTTTCTTTTTCTATCTCTTCTAGTGTTCACATTATCCATTACTGTTGAATCACCCATAAGTACGCAGAATTAAAATTTGCTTTATGTTGTGATATGCCTTCAGGATATGAGTTGAGACTCTGGTCTGCATGTAGATTTTCCTGCTTAACACAATTCTGTTGCATATAGAAATGGAATGTTTTTGAAAGTTTTAGTGCATAACCAATAGTGGTGCCATATTGCACTCTGCTGGCTCATTCTAGCTAATGCAGACAACCAATTTTCTGCATAATTTCTATTTTTATTTTGAGGCAAACATGCAGGGAACTACTGCAATGCAGGAATGCTAAGTCATTAAGATCACCACTCCATCATTCTCAACAGATTGGACAGAAGAAACAAATGGAGCTGTAAATAAGTATAAAGCATGGCAAGCTACTTTTATGAACTGTCCCTATCCAGTTTAATTTCAATCTGAAATAGTACCTACGAGCTTTGGAGGCAGAACGTGATCTCTGTCACAGAAACATGGAGAAATTGATATTTATCCATAATAGCTCCTAACAGTCTCAAAGTTCACCAACTCCATGATCTCCAACTGTATTCAACACCGACAACAATACTGCTACCCTTCAAAAAGAGCTTGGTCAAACAAATGGCAACTTCAAATCTCAACAAATAAATGCTCTGTCTTACATATTGGCAAAAAATAAAATACAAGCTGAATAGTCAAGACCTTGTTGATGATCCAAACTCTGTCAAGGACCTTGGATCTCTAATGATCTAAGTGCTAGAGCCCACTGTAACTACATAGCCAAAAAGGCATTAAGAGTTGTTAACCTAACCCTGTGTAGCTTTTTCTCCGGTAATATCACACTAACTAGAGCATACAAAACATTTGCTAGACCAATCCTTGAATACAGCTCATCAGTCTGGAACCTGCATTATGTATCTGATATTAATACAGTTGAGAAAATCCAGAAATATTTCACAAGAAGAGTTCTCCAGTCCTCTACTCGTTGCAGAATACGTTATGCTACCAGACTTTAAATTCTATACCTAGACAACCTAGAACTATGCCGCCTTCGGTCCGATCAAATATAGTACATAAAATTATACATTCCAATGTCCTACCACTCAATGTATACTTCAACCATAACAATACAAGAGCACACAAGATACAAACTCAAGGTAAACTGCACCAAACTTGATTGCAGGAAATAAGACTTCACCAACAGAGTGGTCAATGCCTGGAATACTCTGCGGTTTCTTCCCCAAACCCCAAAAACTTTAACCTTAAATTGTCTACTATTGACCTCACCCCTTTCCTAAGAGGTCTGTAGGGGGTGTGCATAAGCACACCAATGTGCCTACCATCCCTGTCCTATTGTTTCTTTTTTTTCTTATATGTATCCATTTCATGTATTCATAACCATGCTTATACTTATACCTGTTATAATCGCTTGACAAAATAAAATAAATAAAAAATAAAACAAATAAAAATATATAAGCTGGTGTACTTGGTAAGATTGTAGTTAAAATTATAACTATGTCTTATGATTTGCTTCTAGAAATTAGTATTTATCCATATATGCATCTGCTAATATTTATCAGCTAAATTTAAAGCTGCAACCTTTGCTGGATGCATACTTACTCAGAATTACATTACTTTCATATGTACTTGATATGTATCTGTTCCCATTCCAGTCCAGTTTTATACCTGGTTTGGCAGCAAGAATATAGCTTTGAGAGACTTCTTCTTTGCCTCATGGATGCTAGGCTGTGAAGTTCCACAGGGAACCACTCTCACTCTTGTTGTTTTTAATATCTGTATGAAGCATCTGGGCAAGGTCATCATAATATTTGGAGTTGGATGTTTTCAGTAGGGGTCACTCAGTTCTTTTTCTCCCTTTCATAATGATCACAAAAGCATAAGAGCCATGGTGGTGCAGTGGTGAGAATGCAGTGTTGCAAACTAACTCTGCCAATGCCAGCAGTTCGATTCTGACCAGCTCAAGGCTGACTCAGCCTTCCATCCTTCTGAAGTTGGTAAAATGAGGAGCTGTATTGTTGGGGGCAATATGCTGACTCTGTGAACTGCTTAGAGAGGGCTATAAAACACTGTGAAGCAGTATATATAAGACTAAGTGCTATTACTATTTGTTTCAGAAAGACTAAGAGCATTAGGGAAGGGGATGAGACTCTGAACACCAGATAAACTATTTCTGTTAGTATAAAGGAAGGATTTGGGGAGAAAAATAAAATGGAAGATATGATGGGAGAGATATGAAAGATGACAGAGTGAAAGTGGAACGACTGCAGGAAGAGAATGTACCAGACTAAACAAAATAGAATAAACAAAAACTGAATGTGAAGAAAGATGTTAAAGAGAGCTTAAAACAAAGTGAAAAGAATGAAGTTACAGAGTGCCATGTAAGTGTGTAGTTCTGCTAATGGTAAGCATGAAAAGGTACTTGGTAAAATGAAGAACTGAAGACAAATGGATACAAGAAAATGCTACAAAGAATGAGAGTGAGAATATGTAATGTATAGTGGTGAAAGAGGATTGTGTGAGAAGAGATGACAAGAAGCCTCCGGCAAGCAAATGGAATTAAAATGGATAAAATGATTTGGAATTAAACTGAAATGATGGTCTGCCGGAAGGAACATTTTAGAGATTTGAAAGAGTGGGATAGTAAGAAATACTATAAACGTTAATGTTCAAGGAAAAAGTGCTGAAAAGGATTTATTAAATGTGTGACTCTTGAATAATGGTAAAGCTGCAGAAGTAGATGGTATAACTGGGGAAAAGTTTAAATATGAATAAGATTTGGTTAAGAAGCAGCAATGTTACTTTGTGTGTGTAGTGTGAAGACTGCATCCTTAGTGGATGCAAAATCTTCATTTGCCCCTTGGAAAGTCTTGTCAGAATGAATGGAAAGTGCACATTTTGCACTGGCAAAGTTCCAGAATTTGGCCTGGAAAGGTAGAAGCAGTTACAGGTAAAATGTTGCAAATGCAAGAAGACCTGGGCTGCTGTGTACACCCGGTCACTGAGAAAGATATGATTGTGAGAAAGATTTATTATATTTATTGGATAAAGTGAAGAGAGTTGAATCTTGGAATGCTTTGTTCAAGTATGGAGTTAAAGGGAAGGTTGGCTACTAAATTCAGAAACCATGACACATGATGAAAACTTCCATGTGAATAAATGACATACTTAAGAGGATGGTTCAAAACTGACAGTAGGGAATAAAGCTGTGCAATGTATGTTTATATATTCATGGATATGTAAGAAATGCCTGTGGTGATGCCAAGCATTGGCTGAGGAGATAAAAGGGAGTGCACTTTTGGGATTTTAATGTTACAATTTTAGTGTTCCAAACTATCTGAAAAAGATGAAATATTTGTCTAAAATTGCAATTTTGCATTCTTTTGGAGAATAATGATCAGATTGTTTGCTTCTCCCTGACAATACATAAAAATACCTGCCCTCTTATCTCATCCCTCCTCTTTTCAATCAGGTAGTTTCCTGTGACCCTACGATCATTAGGCAGAGTTTACAGTTCCCTGTCCTCTGTGTCTGTTCTGACACAGGCTTCATCAAAGTAATGAAACACAAACTTGTTTTAAAAGCAAAACCTATTTTAATGCAATGCTGGGAATTACTTTCATTTTCAGCCAGAACTAATCTTAAACAGTTCCCCAAGATAAGCACATGCCTGTCAGTGCTGTGGAAAGCTGCCAAAAACAGAAGTATCCAAATTAATTATAACAGAAAGCAACTGAACTACCAGAAAAAACTGAGCAGAATACACAGAGCTTCAAGGACTTGGAATCTGTTGAACTACTCTGCTTCCTGCAAAGAGTTCATCATTGAGGTCTGACTTTTATCCCTTATGGTAGGGGCAATCATCTCCCAGCCTTACTTCCGAATTGCCCCTTCTGCTTCAGTTGCTCTCTCCTTCTATCAGCTCTGTGCACATACGCACTGAGAACAGGCTCCCCTGGGTCCTCTGCTTCGCTGCTGCCAGACTCCAAAGGCTCCAAAAGCAGCACCCCACTCCCAGGTGGCCCTGGCCCCATCCCTGCATTGGATGCAAGACCAGCGTCTAAGTCTTCTCCAGACTCCCTGACTGGTCCCCTTTCTTCCTCACTGTCCGACTCTGCTGCTGTCTGCACAGGCTGCCAGCAAACCACAACAGTGTCTGGTTTAACTCTTCCATCTCCAAATTCTGATTAAGAACGGCTACTAGGAAGAAATAGGTTATTCTCCAGCATTTTACCAAAGAATTTTGTTGATCAGTTGCAAAGAATCAAGAGTCACTCACAATTTTGAAAAATTTAATGAGACTACTGATGTTACAATGTTTCTATAAATTGTACACTAGTCCTTAAAAACTAATGTTTGAAATTATATCAGTATTTCCGTGATAAACAAAAGCTTATCCAATAAATTGTACATGTAGCAAATCCAACATGCAGACATATTCACACACACATACCTATTTTTCTCCTTATCACTTAAAGTTTGTATACAAAGACAGCTAGTGTGCAGTTGAAACATGCTGACACATTTTAAACCTCAGAAATAAATAAATATATACAAAGAAAGTTAAGCTTTGCTGATAAGAAAACCAAAGATTTATACAAGAAAGATGATATGATGAAAGAAGAGCACTAGAAAAACTATTTATCTGAAATAAATTTTAAAGGATTACTACATGGTAGTAAATGCAAAGAATATTCTTATTTGGCTAAAATATAGGCACATTTCACATTAATCTGGTCAGATAAAACCATCTTAAGGGGAAACTAAAGTATTACAATTTTCCTAATGAAAGTAAAGCCATTTACCATTTTAATATTATTTACTTCCAATTACCATATACAGAAATAGAGTTTCCCTCCTTATTTTGAATATTTTATCCAGAATAAATGTTACATAAGTGACTTTCTGAAATTTATTGAGAGATATAAACTAATTTTTTTAGAAGGCACATATAAACAAAACATTCTCTTTAGTAATCCCATCAGACTCTGTTTGATCCCATCAGACTCTGGTATAATTTGATGTCACAAGGAATCATTCACTCATATTAAAATAAATCCTTAACCTGCAATAAATAATGCCTTATAAAACAAATTAAATCAAACAACTTTAGTCTAACAGGGCAACTTTAGTATAACAGGTAGTTGTTAAACAGCTATAATAACAGATGGAGTTGAAACTTTGAAAATAAGCTTGCAGAGATTATTGCCATAGAAAGAGGGAGAAATCCTATGACCACCTGTCAGTCACTGGTCAAATTTGCAATTCTGTACAAATTTTCCTTAAAATAAGCCTCCTTGTATTCAGTTGGAATTATTTCTAAGAAGACATACTGGAGATTATTCTATATATTATTGGGAGATTAAATAAAATGGCACACAGAAAGAGTTACTAAAGAATTGAGCAAGTGACAGATTGTTTTATATTTAGCATGTGTGTGTGTATGTTTGTGTGCAAATATATATATTTTGAGTATTTATTTTAGCTAATTTCACCCAAAGAAAATTTGTGTTACGGTTGTAAACAATGAATATAACAACCTTCTCCTTTAAAGATGAGGCATACTGACTTTAGTAAATCTAAGTATATTTGCTACAGAGTATATAATAATATAATCTGTAATTCAAAATACTATATGAAGGGAAGAATAGATGGCATGACCGCTATGCTTACGTGTGAAAATCTCAATTGTTTCAGCAGCTGTGTATATCTGAAATTATAAAGATTTCTTGTTAGGTATGTGTCAATACATATCTTGGAAAAGGTCTATCTGGGTGAAAAGGTGTAGGGCAGTAACTTGATTTGACAGGTTAATAAACATTGCTCTTAAGGCATAAATCAATGGAAAACCATGTTCCATCCTGGAATTCCACATATATAAGGATGTGAAAATAAAGCAAATTAGGAAAAACTGATGTAAATTCATATATAATATTGGACTGATTCAGAATTTCTATTCTTTGATCATGATGAAGATGCATAGCAACTGTGCTCAGTTTAACTGCTCAGTTTCTTTTGATCTATAACTAGGCAAACTTTCAAGTTATATAAAACATTTCATTAAGTTTTTCCAAAATCACAGAAGCACACTTCAATACTTCTGCCATTAAAAAATAATAAAATAATAAATATGGCCCAGAGTTTGCAAGCAAGAGTTAAGATTGAGAGAAAGATAATCTTTGAAACACTTTTGATTTCTGTAATCAGGCACAAAAGAGTATAAATTCACTAAAAATAGTTTTTCTTTGCCTTGTAAAAAACATCTATAAAATCTCAAATGACCTCTAGCATTACGCAAACAGACCTCTGCTGATGCTGCAAGCAGAATATGCTATTATCCCTCTTTTCAGAGTAGATTTGATTACATGATCCAAGGGAATACATTTATACCTACTGACATGCACAATTGGATAGCCCTCCCTGTGTAAGGCTACATATGCACACAGACATACATATATATCACAGAAGAAAATGTGGGTTGATGCAACATCTTAACAGCATGCTTTGAAAATGTCTTTGGAAGCTACAAGCTTTAGTTTTGGACTTTTCAAGATTCTTAACTTTGCAAGATTATAGATGGGATTAATAAACATGTCACTGTTAGATGCTTGAGAACTGTTGATAAGAGAGTGGAGAGAATTGATTAGATGTTCTGTTTCTCCAAGTCTAGGTAGCTGAAAAGCTTATATAACTGGATAAAGCACAACACTTTGGTAAAGTTTATATCTTTTGCCAGTCACCACAAGTTCAACACTTAATAATCTTTATTCTGCTTGTTGACTTGTCTTCTTCCAGATATTCAGAATTTTGTACTGTGGCTCAGGGAGTCTGACATGATCATATTTCTATAGAAATTGTCTGATTGAGTATTATAGTAACCTTTCACTTTGTCAATGACTTGGTGAACTGGGATGATTGACGTCTGTTCCATGTCCACTTGGATGTATTTTGTTGAAGGCTTGTCAAGAAAAACATTGTCTGATTAAAAACAAGACAAAACAAAACAAGTCAGTAATTTTGAAAACAAAATTTACTGCCAAGAGGATGACCTCAGACAACCCCTTGGTAAATACTATAAAGTATATGATATCCTTTTATTTTTGTTCTGAATTCTGATTTTCTTTTTACAATCCATACCATGAGTAAGCTGCCAGTCTGATAGTTACAACAAGCTTTATATTGCACATTAACAACCATACATTAAAAGCTTTTCCTTTATTATTTTCTTATAACATTTTATCCTTTTTCTGTTTTAGGGCAGCAATTACTAATAAGCCATTTGGGTGAGGTTCAGGGAAATGGAAGTAGCAAAATTGTGATTTATGCTTTCCTAAGAATTAAAGTCACCCAATTTACTCCTAAAAACTCTCAAAATGTTAACAATTAATTGAATAGTTCAATTAATTGTTATCATTTTGAGCAGTTTTAAGGAGTAAAATGTGTGTGTGTGTGTGTGTGTGTGTATGTGAGAGAGAGGTACAATGTGAAGTCTTAAAGTACACATTTCATATGTATCATCTGCCTGAAAAATCCAGCTCCGCCGGTGCTCTGGGAGCTGAAAATTAGTAGGGTTGGACTGTATGTACACCATACTTTGTACTCCTGATCTATCTAGAAGTATAGATCAAATTTTATTCCTTCAGTCTACATAATCTGAAATTTAGCTTTGGCTTTCAGTTATTGGATGACATTTTTTAAAATAACATTTTATTAATTTTCTTTTGTTTGCATTTTGTTAGTGCTTAATAAACATCATGTTGTCTGGGTTATTTTATTTGCTTAGCAGTACAGATCACATTCTTAATCTCCACCCCTTTTTTCCAATCACTGGTAGAATAAGTTCCATGTTTGATAATATTCTGTATCTTCTTTTTGTTTAATCTTCCATGTAAGTCTGTCCGAATTATCTCTCTGTCTCATATTTCTTCATTTTTCCAATATTGTGCAAATATAATCCTTGCTGCTGTTAATATATACAATATTAAATATATATTTTGTTTATCAAATTTTTCTGGTGCTATACCTAATAGAAAAAGTTCAGGATGAAAATCTACATGTTTTCCTATCATCTTTTCTAATCATTAGGTATTTTTGACCAATTTTTTTTTTTTGCTTTAACACAAGTTCACCAGTTATTGGATGACATTTCTATGCTGACCTACCTAGTTACTGAAATAATGGCATCAGCATTGTTGAAGCCATGATATCAAACTGCAGTAATCTGACTCACAGTTAAATGCTGTTTGGTATAAGCATTTGGAGTCTGTTTTTGAATTGGGAATGTGGATGTTATCTGCTTCATTCTGAACAGGATTCAGGATAATTTCACGCAAACTATCCGCTTTGAATGTATGAACCAATTCAGAATAAGGACAAGAGAAAAAACTATCTCATTAAGAGTCATGCCAGAAAGGGGAAAGAAAATCACTTTTTACTACTAAATTGCTGAAATGAGGACAGTTGCACTAAAATCAACAGTAATGGCTACAGGTTTCACCATTTTTGGACTCAGCTTATTATGTGCTGAGAACGGATTTTGACTGCGTTCCTTACTATCAATTTACATTCATATTGCATTTCATTTATACACACAGACTGTGTTATCTACATTGAAATAAATGTCAAACCACCCCCAGAGATGCAGAATCTGTAGCTTTAAGTTTTTGTTTATTTATCAAATTTAGGTACTGCTCATCTCACTTTCAGAGTGATTTTGCTGCATCCAAATGTGACATTACTTCAAATTGTAAAGAAGGTATAGAATTGATACTGGAAGTCACAGCTTCATATTTTTTAATAACATGCACTTTCACCCTCTATTATGTTATGATCATAATATGTGCTTCCATTTTTTAAATGACCCTGTAATCCCTTGTACAGGGTGGAGTTGGGATGCCTGAAAGGAGCACAAGCATTTACTTTCTGGATGCCCTCATGGAGTTCACAGCAGACAATACCTTATTGAATCCAGAGAGGGAAATATTTGCCGCTAACTAGGATCGAACTCATAGCCTCCTTATTATGGGTTGAGAGCACCATCTTTAGGCCACTATGCTGCTTGTATTGTATGTTTCCCTTATGCTCTACAAAATCAGCTGGTATGGCTATTGACAACAAAATATCATGATCACATCATTATCATGTAGCTAAAGATGCTTGGCAGAACTGAAATTTACAAATTCTGATCAAAATTAGGAGAGGCACAGTTTCCAGCATGCAATCGTTTACATAAAAGGTGCCAAAATGCATTTAATTAATACATTTTGAGAAAGAAGAATAATGTTTGAATGCATTTTGTGTGAACTGGATTGTTTTCGATGTAGAGATTAACCCAGAAAGAAGAACGTGTGGTTAAATATCTGTGAAAGTTATATTGACTCATCTCTCACAGAATAAATAGTATTATATATTACCTAAAAAGAGAAAGAACTTGATAATGTATTTTTTCTACTAAGGTATGTAATTTTGACCTGGGTGCAATGAATATCTATAACAATACTGATAGAGTTGACTGAATTCCTTTTCAATAATGCTTAGTGGGTAAAATATATTGTTTCAGACTTTGGCAGAGTTATACTATGACATAATCAGTACCAACTCAAGTATCAGCTGACACCAACTGAGTTCAGTCAGCTGTGTTCATACTGGTAACTTCAACCTCAAGCATACCTAGAACAAGCTTTTGAGTAAGATACTACTACCAGAAGACTAGAGAGTTCAAGACAGTGAGCAGCTTTGCTGATCTAAATGTGACCATTAGATGGTGCTCATATAATGTTTCTCTTAATATACAACTAAACACATTGTTTTTATAGGCATCTAATGAATAAAATTTTACCTGCTGAATTCTTACCACAATTGTTATGTGTTACTATCGAATATTATATTTATGCAAACGGGTAATATTCCTTAAAATATTTAGCATTCATTTACCCAAACTAGCAACTATATAAAACTTAAATTGATCACAAGTATAAACAAGAGGGAAAGGATTCCTCAATTTTTTTATAATAATGTATAGCTAAAATTAAGTAGATTTAAAATTAACCACAATTACTTATGAAATGCAATGAAGAAAATGCAAATTGCACAGGATTTTTTTTACATGGAAAATAAGTGTAGGTATGCTAAAATATAGCCAGAATGGTTTTTTTTGGCAAACATTCTCATATGGCTTACTTTGGTTTTGTTGTATTATTTTTGAAAAGGTGTTTTGAAAAGTTATGATTTCTTATGTTACATTTTATGTATTTATTCAATACAAATCTGTGATTTAAGCACTAGAGCACAGATTTCTACTGTGTTTAGGGGTTTAGAAGGAAGATCAATAAGAATTTTATAACAGATGTATATGAAATAAGCAATAGCATGAAAAATACAGAAAAGTTTTTCCCTTCACTCTATTGGAACTTGAAGTCAGCCATGGAGGTGAAACATAGTGAACAAGATAGCAAAACAGCATCTGCCACCAAAATGTGCAAAAGCAAATTTAGAAGCTCATTAACAGCTCATTAACCTGAGGGGTGGATAATAAAATCTTTTTATTCATAAATACAAATAGTTACTTATTTAAACAAACACACTTTAATCCATAATCCACGTAGCTCTACAAATGTTGATAAATTGCAATTCCCAGCAGCCCTAGCCACTCTGGGTAATTGTAAGGGATGCTGGATTCTATACCTCAGCACCATTAGCAGACAATCTTTCCAAGGAAAGCTTCATTTTATCTAAGGAAGACCTATTAATTCCTGCCCCATCCCTCCATTGGGATATACTTTCAAGTCTCCATCAAAAGCCTGTGGAGGCAAAAGATGAACAAGAATAGAGAATTTCACAAATCCCTCATCAGTCCTTTTAAACAGGAGTCTCCAATCTTGGCAACGTTAAGACTTGTGGACTTCAACTCGCAGAATTCTGGGAGTTGAAGTCCACAAGTCTTAACATTGTCAAGCTTGGAGACCCCTGGTTTAAAACAGGGGTCCCCAAACACCGGTCCATGGACCGGTGCCGGTCCATGCCAGAAACGGTCTCCACAAACAAGCAAAGCCCCATTGGAGGGATGCAGGCAGCATGCAAAACCATGCCCCCTTGGGTCTGCGGAAAAACATCTCTCCACAGAACCAGTCCCTGGTGCCCAAAAGGTTGGGAGCCAATACTATAAAAGGTACCTCAGCCAGGTTTATTGCACATCCTTCCTTCTGATCATTTAGCCCTAATAATAATGGCCTCAAATGGGCTCTTTCCAGATCTCACCTTAAGGGAACTTCCAAGTCACCTATCTAGCCTTCCATGCTACATTTTGGTCATATTTACTTAAGATATGTTTGCTAGTTCATGATCTCCCCTATTGTGGCCTCAGGTTATTTGGGATGATGTAATAATTTTCTTCCTCCTCTCTTCCTTTATTCCTCAAAATCCATGTGTGAAATGGGGTGGGTGGGGAAATAGAGAACTGTAGTCTTTACTCTTCCTTCCAATTCTTCTTCCACAAGCAGGTGATAAAGAAGGAGCCAAAGGGAAATACTCAGACTTGCTCATTCATATCTGCCGTAGAAAAAAATGTACTGCAGCAACTCAGTGGTATGATGATATTCCAGCCCTCGGGCTTTTCATAGGTTTACTTCTCCCCCACCATGATAAGTGGAGAAGCTTTCACCATTATTTCAGGCTCTCCCAGCTCCTTCCTTCTTTCTTTCTCTCCCCTCAGTCGGCGAGATCTTCTCCATTCTGATGGCTGGAGACTGCTTCGGCAGCTGATGCAAAATAGCTTGACCCACTCCCAGATGCCATCCTCACGACCACTTCTCCTACCCAGATTGAGGAAGGTAAGCCCTGCAGGAAGGGGATGGCAGCTGCCTGTTTTCATGTTCATGATTTTTCCCTTTCTTGGGAGGCTAAAATTGAATGACTGGATTATGAACATGTATATGTTGGATTTTTAAAAAGGAGAGTACATGGGATTGAGAGCCCATGGACCATAGACAGTGACTTGGCAGGTGGCAAGTCTAAGCCCTCAGAGCTAGACATATTCACAGAGAGCAGGAGCAATAGCTTAATAGTTATATGTTATACTAAGGCTCAAAAGCAGCATGGCTTAAACCAACTGTCAGGGAGCAATATTTGAAGAAGACAATTTCCTCATTTTCTACCTATAAGCTTTTTGAGATTCTCTGTTGGTCACTGTATGATAGCTGAATCCAGCAAAATTCATTCTACTTTCATTAGGTTGGCTAAATATTACAATAAATGCTGAACCAGTATACCGTCTACATTCACTGCATATTTTAAAAAACTAAGTAGGCTGATAACTGAAAGCTTTTTCTAACATTTTGAAAAATGTTCAGCATCAGAGAATACAGTAATTTCTTGCAGACATTATTACAAATTAGGTGAATCACTTTAATGGTGTCTTTTTCATTTTCTTCTTGTCAGCTACTAGACAAAAATATATACCTAACAATATGCATTTTATGAAGTTGTTTCACTTGGATGTTTACCTCAAACAATCCTGAATGTTTCATTTTCATGCTAACCATAATCGAAAGCACTCTTGTGTACCAAATTGTAGTCAGCCAGAATTAATGACAGAGAAAGATGCACAGTATAGAATGAAGCAATATGTATGATTAGTTAATCTTTTTGTGCTGATTCAAACTTCATGCAAGTGTCCTTATGCAAGCGCTTGGAAATCATGCATTCAGCAAATGTGATATACACTTTACCTTGAATGTTCGACCACTGGTGAGGATATGTTCTTAGAAGACATTATCTATACCATAAACATATGAGCAGCTGAATCAATTTTGGAGAATAGTGAAATAATTCAACAAATTACTTGGAGATATCCACCACCATATACATTACTAAATTATGCTTAAACATGCTGTGCTTAAGCACAACATACCAGTTTGAATAACTGTATTTTACATAGGTGTACTCAAGCAGTTAACAGTTAATACAGAATGAAAGATTAACATAAACTGTATTTTACAAATTTTGCACATAACACTAACATATTATTGTTGTCATTTATATTAAAAAGAGATCAATAAGCTGTATCATGAGCAAGGACAAATAACCACCTTCAGATACTTCAAGAAAATCTATTATGTAATGTAGAACATCTGCGAATAAAGCTTTAATGCACAACAACTCATCAAATTACTCACTTATGTTGATTCAAATTTAATGAATCATTAAAAAGACTATTTGCAATTAATCCAATGGGGTATTACATGCCAATAATTGTAAACACTTTTAAACAGTTTCAGATAAAATTTTATTGCATTCAATACAATGGGTTTTTTTTAAAACTGTAAACCACCCAAAGTGACTTAAGTGAATATAGACATTTGATAAGTAAAATAAACACAATTTAAAAGAAATGTTACTTATATGAAAAAGGAATGTTAGCAGTATTTTGTTGAAAAGTGCCAACAATCTTACTCTGTTTTAGTTTTAGATAAGTTTTAGCTTTTGGTTATCTTAAAGATAACTCAATAGCATGTGAAGCTTGAGAGCCTTCTGCCAATATATGTTACTTGAATTGGCTGTTGGAAAAAAATACTATTAAAGCAGAGGAATCCCAGCCAAATTATGGTTAATTCCTGTGGATGCATTTCTAGTGCATAACTTACCTAACGTTCTACATCAATCTAAAGCAGGCTATTCCAGGTAGATAGTTTAACAATTACACTTTTCATATTGAAAACTACTGACCAGAATGGCTGTTCCTTTTATGGTAGGTGTTTGATGTGGATTTGGATTTTGAAGTCAGGTATGTTGAATTAGAACCAATAGAACTGGAAGATAAGGATTTTCCCAGATTGTCTGAACTCTTCTTTATTATATTAGTTGCTGTTTTACTCCAGTCTGAAAATAAATGAAAGCAAAACTGGCTGTGATTGCATACCAGATTGAAATAATTATTCAGACCTTATAAGAAGTAAAGGAATGGAATTAAAGAAAGCACAAGTCGTTTTCATTTTTCCCTAGCGTGTTTATTACCCTTTATTATGCAAATCAGGCAGTCATGCATTTCCTCTATGCTGACAATATGGGAAATTCATATATGAAGTGACACAGCCATTTTAATGATATCATTCATATTTAAACATCTGAAATTATTCCCACCCTGTCACTTATATAAGATACAAGTAGTTCTTCTTTAGCAAGGCTTGGAGTGGTTGCTACTGCATGGGGGAGTGAGTGAGGGGATGTGTAACTGGTGAGAGATGCATGAGGCTCAGGGAGGTACTAGAGGCGTGTGAGAGTAATGCCACAAGGCTCCGGGAGGGTGTGGAAGGGAGGTGCAGCAAGAAGGCAGAGGTTGTGCAGTAGTTCCTGAATAGCCTCCCAAGTGCAAGTGCGGAGAAGTTGGGGAAGATGTGTGGGTAAGGGAGACTTACTCCAGTACTTGCAACCTTCCCTGCCAGATTCCCCACTGACTTATTGGGGAAGCCATCAGGGAAGGTAATGAATGGCAATCAGATGACCACAGGGTACAACAACTGGTCATAAGTGAAAGTGATTGTCAAGTGCCCAGATCATCATCACTTGATCATGGGAATCCTGGGATGGCCAGAAGATGATGATCAATTGTAACCATCATTTGTTCAGCACCGTCGTAACTTTGAAAAGTTTCTGAATTTATATGTTAAATGTTGAGGACTACCTGTATGAACAAAGTTGGAGAAATACTGAAATGTCCTCAATGGAAGAATGGATTGTGAAGATGGCCCAGTTAATAAAAATGACAAAAATGACTATTTGTAGTGGAAGTATATTATTATGCAAAACTTCTTAGCAATATTACTACAGAAGATTCTTTTACATTCTGCTTACACACACACACACACACACACACTAACTAGGAAGTTAAGTAAGCAATCTGGAAAGTTGGGAAGAGCAAATAACTTCCATATAACTGCCAAAAAAATTACAAGGACATTTCAAAATAGAGTAGATTTTGCTTTAATAATGAGTAGAACTGACCTTAATTATAGTAAGAATCATAGAATAAAATGACAATTATTATACAGTATATGGATCTTGTCCATTTATCTACTAAATGGAAATTCTGCCAGGCTTATGAATACATATATTTAATTCAGTGAAAGCTAAGATAAAAGGATCAAAGCAACTGCTTTATTTATTTTTATTGTTTCAGGCTTTGGTTTCTAATATCTCCTCAAACATTTCCATAAACATTGCAAGGGAACACTCATTCTTTGAAATAACATCATTTGCAGAAGTGGCACATTCTCAATTTTCTAGTCAATAATTTCTATTAAATATCTCAGAAAGTTGTGCTTAGCAGGTCTTTGCAGGTCAGCACATGTATGAAAGATTACTTTATAATGTACATTTTAGCTTTATGGGCTCAATTAAGAGAGAAGAATTGCAAAGGGTAGTTCATTTTACCTGAGTTATCTGCCAGCCTGAATCGTCCACAACAAAGATGCCTTCTCCATTGCTTTTGTACATTTTCTTTCATTGCACAGTGGAATATAAATATAAATAAACCTGAAAAGTAAAATAATAAAAAATCGAGGACTTTATTAAATAAGATTAAGAAATACACATAAAGGCACAAATACCTTTTGTTCATGAAATATTATATATGGTATTTAGATATACACCTTCACTAATTGTTACATATGTGCAAACCCAATCAGATATGAATTTAATTGATTCAGAGTAAGGTAGAAGTCCTAATAAATTAGATCAAGGGTCTCCAAACTGTTCAACTCATTAATTCCTGCATGAAGTTTCAGCTTGTTCATCAACTTCCAAACTTTGATTATATGAAAATAATTTAATAAATATTACTTTAACTAATGGCTCTATGAATAGTAACAAACAGTCCTATTGTCATTTGGGAATCAATATTGACCACAGTTAGAATGACCACCTCATTTTTAAGTCAAACTGGTTAATATATGAATGACCTCCAGTTGAGAAAACCTTGGGCACATGTCCTTTCTCCAATGATCTTCCAAAATTCTCCTCCCATTACTCCCCTACTCATGCTGATCCTGTATCCTTAATGGTGACATTAAACAGGAGAAACCAAAGCTTTATTGAACATTAGTGTTATTTACCTCATGCCTTTATACTTAGTCCTAATCTGCACTCCACATTCCATCCGTTCCTCCTTTTATAGTGCCATTAGCAAGTGCCAGGAAGGGGGCATATTTGAATGCTGAAGTTGGATGGACCTGGACTCTGGGACAAGCATGTATAGATGTGGAGTGTAGTAAAGAACTTTAAATATTATTTTGCTTGGATTAAAATGTCCAATTTGTGTGTTATTTAAACAAGAGGAAGACTCAAGACTGTCCTAATCCATATATATATATATATATATTTTCTTAAGTTTTCGTGGATACTTACATGTATGGCATTCAGCTTTGTTCGGGTATTTTCCCACGTCATTGTAGTTGTGCTTTTAAAGTTGTAGCAACGTTTCGGCAGAATCTCATCTGCCATCATCAGGCTTCCGTTTAGTGTTCATCTGTGAGTCAGGCTTTTACAGTGGTTTCAGATTTAAATTTGGGGCAGCCTATTGCTGTGCCAGAATGTTTTTTTCTTCACCCTGATTGGTTGGGAGTCTTGGTCTGTGTTTATTGGTCTTGGAGTTTGCTGTGTTCTGCTTGATTGGTTTTTCTAATATCTTCTGTCTGTTTTTTGGCTCTTTTTGTATCTTGATTGGCTGGCAACATTGTGTTACTTTATTGGAGGCCTTTAGTGCAGCTTGGCTCCGGGTAAATGGACAGCTATCATTAGTTAGGAAGCTAGGTTTCGTCTGGGTGCCTGGTTGGGGTGTGTTTGAGCTGGAGGTATCAGGGTGGTATCAGGGGGGATCTGTCTGTGCCCAGGTGTTTGCCTGGCTTTTGGTGTAGAGATTTTTTTGTTTGTGAGTGCAGGCTTCCAAATAATTGACAGTCTGGTGGAATCATCTCTTCTATTCATGCTTTCAGGTCTTTTTTCAATCTCTATGGCTTCTCTGATGATTCTGTGGCTGGGGTTTTCTATAGTGGCTAAGCACCAAAAGTGTCTAGTTGTGCTTTTAAAGTTGTAGTGACATTTCGGCAAATTTTCCATCTTCCAGCTGGTGTATTGGTTTCGTCTGTGTGTCAGGCTTTCACAGCCATTTTTGTTTTAAATTTGGTGCTAGCCTCCTGCTGTGTTAGAATAGTTTTTTTCTTCATTCTGCTTGGTTGGGAGTTTTGGTCTGTGTTTATTGGTCTTGGAGTTTGCTGTGTTCTGCGTGATTGGTGCTTCTAATATCTTCTGTCTGTTTTGTAGCGTTTTTTGTCTTGATTGGCTGGAAGCTAGGTTTCATCTGGGTGCCTGGTTGGAGTATGTTTGGGCTGGAGGTATCATGGGGAGGGGTCTGTTTGTGCCCAGGTGTTTGCTTGGCTTGTGGTGTGGATATTTTTTTGTTTGTGAGTGCAGACTTCCAGATAATTGACAGTCTGGAGGAGTTATCTCTTCTATTCATGCTTTCAGGTCTTTTTTCAATCTCTATGGCTTCTCTGATAATTCTGTAGCTGCGGTTTTCTATAGTGGCTAGGGTTTTGGTGCCATTGAAGTCAATGCTATGACCTGTGGCTTTCATGTGTTGGACTAGTGAGGAAGTGTGTTCCAGCTTTTCTACTGCATTTTTGTGTTCATCCAGGCGGGTACTTATTCTTCTATTGGTCTGTCCGATGTATGTGGCAGGGCATGATGCGTAGGGGACTGTGAAAGCCTGACACACAGATGAACCCAATACAGAAGCCTGATGATGGCAGATGAGATTCTGCTGAAATGTCACTACAACTTTAAAAGCACAACTATAATGACGTGGGAAAATACCCGAACAAAGCTGAATACCATACATATAAATACCCGTGAAAACTTAAGAAAACGCACAGACACACACACACAAAATCATCTTGTCTGTTATTCCATCTATTTGGATGTAGAGGTAGAAGATAAACAACATACTGTAACATGTTCATTTTATTCTACCTTTCTTGTTGGTCCAATGGAATTTTGCCATGGACATCCTATAAGCTGGCAATTGTTATTTTGCTATCCCATTTTTAAAGAAAAAGGATCTTATTTTATTCCAGTTAATTATATTAATGAAACAGAAAATGCCCTTTCTTTTTTAATGACAAGGTACTCCAAATGTTAAATTAATTATTTTAACATATAGTATTCTAACAAATACTATTAATACTTTTCTATTTCTCTATTTAGTTTTAAAAATTCCATATCTATACTTCAAGATGTCTCTATGGCACACTGTATATGGAGATAAACATTCATTTTATGTGTTAAATATTTTTTCCCCCGTTAAATTCCTTCAACTAATTAATTCAGGCTGCTATTAGGGCTGTTTGCTAAACTGGAAACTTTCTCCTTCCTAAGAACAGTGGGATTCTTTGAAAAATGCATAAATGTGAATTTGTTTTGGAACTCTCATTGAATTTCTAAGAACAAATTTTAATAATTCATCTTGATTTTGGACAAGAACCCAGATTCCATGACCTTCCTGGTAAGAGTGCTCAATAAATTCCAATAAAATCAAGTATGGAGATAGCTCTGATGAATACCTTTTAGTTCACTTTTTTTTAAAAAATGAAACGTTTGCAGTCTTTGTAAAACTGCACCAAGTCAAGCTTTCTATCACACATGATAGGTGTTGTCTGACAATACCCTTGGGAAAGCAATGGCATGAAATAAAATTGGGAGTATTTTCAATAAAAAGGGAAATGACTGAAAAAACAAATGGAGAGCACTTGCCGTGAAAAAGATATCCCTTTTAATTTGGTACCAAATTTATTCCAACTCTGCTACAAAAATCAACTCCACCTCTGCTGAAGGTGAAGTGATATAGGCTGGATAAGCTGAACCTAAACCATAACTAAATTTAAATGTTATCAAAAAAAAAAAAGCCACACTATATGATAAATATTTCAAAATCTGGATTTTTTTTGAGATAATTTAATGTTTGCATCCTTCATCTGTTCTTATATAATAAACAAATGACAAAAATAATGAACTTCTTATAATGTAATAGTATCTTATAATATATTTCCCACCTTTTATTCTTTTCAAACTAGTGAAATAGTAGAAAGAAATTGTGTAAAATGGTTCAGGGCTCTGTTTGCCAGCAAGATATCGAATTTTGATATGGCAAGAGTAGATAGCAAAATAACAACAACAACAACAACAATAGTAACATTAATCATCATCATCTAATAAAAATGAGAGAAAAATCAGAAAAAAATTCCTTAATCAACTCTATGGGTCATGGCTTAGAACAAGAACCACTAGTTGATGCTAAACTCCCCTCCCCTTCCTATTTCAATAATAAGGAACATTTTAGAATTAATTTTGGAATGCATTGTTAATTATAAATTAGATATTTTGAATAAGTTTCTAGTTGGAAAGCAGAAATATGCCAAGTCCACATTTCTTACTTGAAAGACTTGGATGAATTAAACTTTCCTCAAACAATCAGAACAGGGTAAGTTGGAGACCATTTCCAGTTCCAAAAAATTCTACTTACCATGATATGAAGTTTCTGAATTCTATTATCATCAATTACTGTCATGTGACTCATTACTATTTACATGTGTGTGTGTGTGGGGGGTGAAATTCAAAATTTTATCCTACTGGATCTATGGGCGTGGCTGTGGGCGTGGCTTGGTATACTTGGTATAATAGTAATAGCAACCAGGGGCGATTTTTTACCAATTTAAATTGCCCCTACCACCTCTCCGGAGGTGGACTGAGGTGGTTGATTTTCACCCCTGGTGTGTGTGTGTGTGTGTGTGTGTGTGTGTGTGTGTGTGTTTGTATGGGCTTAAATCTACAAATCTTAAGTACAATGTATCTGTTAAGAGTGCTACATAATGCATATAATATACCTGTTCCAGAAGTTAAGTTATTATTTATATTGTTTTTCCAAAATGGTTCTCTACTTACCTTGCAGTGAGTTGGAAATACAGAAGAGATACACAAAAGGGAGATATAGTGGCCCCCAGGCAAAAAAAGCAAAACCCCATGTCATGCCTAGGAGGAAAGTCAGGCTAATAACACTACGCAGGTTCCTCAGGATCTCTTCCCGCATAGTCCTATTGGTCCGTTTTCCATTTCGTCCACAGATTTGCATCATCACCACAACAAACATGGCAATGTTCATGAGGAACATGATTCCAAAGTAGCCAACACAAGTCACGTAAAACACAACGGTGCTTTTAATCCAGCAGCTGTAAAAAAAATATTAATTCTACGTTATTTCTCATGTTATAAAATTGTTTTATTAATTCTGGTTGCTCTGGGTCACTTAAACAAAAGTAAAAGGCTTGTTTAACTATTATTTCCTTAAAGTTGTATATCAAGGTAATGCTGGATTAGTAAATGATCAGATTCAGAATCAGTTATTCTGTACTTCTAGATACTTCAAATATTGCCATAATTTCCTCAGTGAAGATTAAATGTTTTTCTGAACAAGCATGAGAACACTTAAAACCTGTTGCTTCTTTTGATCCATTAGATCAAAATATGCAATAATATGCCAACACACTCTGGTTTCCTGAAATCTATCTGAAGAAGTTCAATATCCAGCCTGGTACTGTCCCAAATGTAAATATACCCAATTTTATAATAATCTCTGATTTACATTTAAAAAATCCTGAAACTGCAACTTCAATATTTATTGACATGGAATTTAGACACCATGAAAACAGCCTATGAACAATGAATATTCACAGAATGCATGGTTATTTCACCAGGAACATGTTTGTTTATATTGGAATGGAAAGCTCAAATAAATGTCACATAAAACATACATTTTATGCGTAAAGTTTTCAATCTAAAAGTATATAAATGAAAGTCAATCCCTTTGATTTCAGTGGAAGTTAACTCCAGAAGGAGCAGAATAAATGTTATGTCACAATGTTGGAAGTCCTCAACTTAAAACAGTTTGTTTAGTGACTCTTCAGAGTTGCAACAGGATTGAAAAAAGTGACCGGGGAGTGTTTTTCACACCTACAACCCTGACAAGCAAAGTCAAAGTTAAGTGAATAACCATGTTATTCACTTAACAATGCAGTGATTCACTTAACAACTGTGGAAAGAAAGGTCATAACATGGGGCAAAAACTCAACAACTGGCTCAGCAAGAGACAAAATTTTGGGGTCAATTATAAATTGAGGACTACCTGTACTAGTCTTTTCAGCAATAAACTCATAAACTGGAGATAAAAAAATACGACTACCTCTATTTTAAATAATTTATGCACATGTGTTTGGAAAGTTAAGCTTATCAAATATTGGAGCTATATGATGAGAGATATTTACATCCATAAGCAACATGAAGCAAAGTACATTCATGTGAACTCCTGAACTAACCTAAGTCAATGGTTTCTACTAAATATTTCTAGAAGAATCATCATGTAGTAAAAATTAGAATTCTAACCCAAAAATTTGTTAGCACTGACTTATTAAAATATTATTAATCATGTGCCACAGTTCAAACAGGACAGTAATGTTCATGAGAACATGCCCTTTCCCACTAAGTTCGAAAATCGCATAAGCACATCATGTCTCCCTAAATATTGCTTCTTCTTCAGCCAACATCTCAACACGGCTGTCAAACTTGATCGCATCATGGGCTGGATCGTTTTTTGCCTTTGTGGAGCTGTAGTGGGTGTGGCCTGAGGGCTGCCAGTTTGACAGGCCTGATGTAGAACTACTTGTGTTACATTTTAACCAAAGTGGAAAGCTTACTTAACTGGCTACTTGGAAAGAATAGGATCATGATAAATTTGTCTTTATCATATCTGCCTTTACTACCATCATTTCAGATACATACTCTTATTGGATTCACACTGCTTTAAAAATGATTTAAAAGCATTTGCTAGGTTGTCTGCACCATCCTATTTTAACCAAGTACTTACAAATCATCTCCATCTTGTTCCTTATTATTTTTGTCATTTAAAATGTTGTTGTAAATATTATTTGTATTTGCATGGGTGCTTGATAAAATAATAATTACTACCAATGCTGGTAAACCTGCAATAAAACACAACAAAAGGAAGTTTTATAAACATATCATAATCCATCTGTTGTGAATGTAGGCTGCAGATTCATTCATACATGAGTACACATGGATCTTCATCATATAAATTTTTTAAAATTTCCTATAGGATTGGATTCACTTTTCATGGGGGAGGAAAGGCTGAACTCTCTAACTGCTGTACTTATATGTTACATGAATGACCAGAAAGTGATCCAGCATTTTGCCTATCTAATCAGAAAGAAAGGATAGAGTCCTATCTCTCTAAAAGCACTGGAATGAGGTATATATGCCAGGTGAGGCACCTTCATAAGATGGTGGTAGCAGGAAGTACCAAGATGCTACCTCACAGTAGAAGCTTCACAAGGATGTGAAGACGTGAGGCATCTGAAAAAAGAGATAAGAACTCCGGCTTTCCACCTTATGAATCTCAGCCATCTGCCACACCATCTAATAGAGCAAATTAATGCAATAGTGCCTTTAACATCAATTATCAACATTTCTAAAATACTGTGTGTGTGTGTGTGTGTGTGTGTGTGTATGTATGTATGTATGTATATATGGTATTCAGCTTTGTTCGGGTATTTTCCCACGTCATTATAGTTGTGCTTTTAAAGTTATAGCAACGTTTCGGCAGAATCTCATCTGCCATCATCAGGCTTCTGTATTGTGTTCGTCTGTATTGTGTTCTCACAGACGAACACAATACAGAAGCCTGATGATGGCAGGTGAGATTCTGCCGAAACGTTGCTACAACTTTAAAAGCACAACTATAATGACGTGGGAAAATACCTGAACAAAGCTGAATACCATACATGTAAGTACCCGCGAAAACTTAAGAAAACAAATATGTGTGTGTGTGTGTGTGTGTTCTGTCTCGCCTTTCCTCTTTCCCAAAATATGAAAGAGTACAAACTCACACCAACACAGGCAGGCAAGCTGGCTTGGACTTCACAGAGTCAATTCTTTGGAACTGATAATATTCTTGGCATTCCCACATGTCCTGCCTGCCAAGTCCTAACTGATAAAGTTTTACTCACAGAAAATCACAAGGCCATCCACAAAAATAATCATTCACGAAGAAAATCTGAAGTAAGGTTAAACTTTGTCCCGTACAAAGTTTCAGGAGAAAACACATCCACTTTTATCCCCTGTGGGTGTGGCTCAATGACTCAGCTCACTCTCTGACCCTTATGAGTGCAGGCTTCCAAATAATTGACAGTCTGGTGGAGTTATCTCTTCTATTCATGCTTTCAGGTCTTTTTTCAATCTCTATGGCTTCTCTGATAATTCTGTAGCTGCGGTTTTCTATAGTGGCTAGGGTTTTGGTGCCATTGAAGTCGATGCTATGACCTGTGGCTTTCATGTGTTGGACTAGTGAGGAAGTGTGTTCCAGCTTTTTGACTGAATTTTTGTGTTCATCCAGGCAGGTACTTAGTCTTCTATTGGTCTGTCCAATGTATGTGGCAGGGCATGATGCACAGGGACTTCATATATGCCTTGGTTTTCCAGATCAATTTTATCTTTGGTTTTTTTTTTAGGATGGCTGCTATTTTTCTGTCTGTTAATAAGGCAGTCTTGATGTGATGCCTGTGTAGTATGTTACTGATTTTGTCTGTAGTACCTCTTATGTAGGGCAGGACAGCTGTTCCATAGGTCTGTTCATCTTCTAGGTCTCCATTATGTCTCAGTGTGTTTTTGTGGATCAGGCCAGTGATTTTGCTTTTGTGGAAGCTGTTGGCTGTCAGTACTTTAGTCAGGGTGCATAGTTCACTCTTTATGTTTGTCTTGTTTGCCAGGGGTTTGGTTCTGGCAATTAGTGTTTTGGCCACGGAGTTTATCTGTGCTGGGTGGTGGTGGGATTGGGCATTGAGGTAGCAGTTGGTGTGTGTTTTATTCTGATATATGGTGTGTCCTAGTGTGCCATCTGTTTTTTTGTAGATTAGTACATCTAGGAATGGTAGTTGTTTGTTTCCGTTTCCATGGTAAATTTGATTTTGGGTTGTGTGCTGTTTAGGTGTGTTAGGGAATTGTTTAGGTTTTCTTTTCCATGGGGCCAAATAACAAATGTGTCACTGATGTATCTTAACCATAGTTTGGGTTTGTGGGTGGCATTGGCTAGGGCTCTGGATTCAAATTCTTTCATGAACAGGTTTGCAATGATGGGTGACAGTGGTGATCCCATAGGGGCTCCTTCAATTTGCTTGTATCTTTGTCCTTTGTATATGAAATATGTGTTGGTTAAGCAGTGTTCTGCTAGTTCCATGAGGTGTTTGGGTGGTTGGTATTTATTTTTGATGATTTCTAGAGTTTCTGTTATCAGGACTTGAGTGAATAGTGAAACCATGTCGAAACGTACAAGCAGATCTTTTTGTTCCACGTGTAGATCTTTGATCATTTCCAAGAGGTGGTATGAGTTTTGTACATGTGAAGCTGCTGCTTCTGCATGGGGCTATAGCTATTTTGCTAGGTATTTGGCTAGGTTTTGTAGTGGTGCTCCTCTGGAGCTGACTATGGGTCTGAGAGGTATGCCTTCTTTGTGTATTTTTGGGAGGCCATATAGTTTGGGGCATCTGGAAGATTTTTCTCTTTGGATGATTGTCTGTTGGATCTCTTTGCTCATGTTACTGGTTATGATTTTCTTCTTGGTTATTTTTTCCAGATACGTGGTTGGGTCCCTGTTTATGGGTTTGTATGTGGAGTCTTAGAGTAGGTCTGTCAATTTTGTTTTGTAGTCTTTTCTATCCATTACTACTGTGGCATTACCTTTATCTGTTGGAAGTATGATTATGTTGCTGTCGTTCTTTAGGGCTTGCAGGACTTTTAGTTCCTCTTTATGTAAGTTGCTTTTGAGTGGTTTGCTTGTGCGTTGGATGTTAGTGACTTGGTGTCTTATTCTATCAGCTTCATCTGTATTTAATTTAACTCCAAAACCAATAAACACAGACCAAGACTACCAACCAATCAGGATGAAGAAAAAAAGCATTCTGGCACAGCAGTAGGCTAGCACCAAATTTAAAACAGAAACGGCTGTGTAAGTCTGACTCACAGATAAACACAATACAGAAGCCTGATGATAGCAGATGAGATTCTGCTGAAACGTCGCTACAACTTTAAAAGCACAACTATAATGACGTGGGAAAATACCCGAACAAAGCTGAACACCATACATATAAATACCTGCAAAAACTTAAGAAAGCAAATATTTGTGTGTGTGTGTGTGTGTGTGTGTGTGTGTGTGTGTGTATAAATATTATTATGCCCTTGTGCATTTGAACTTTTTGATGTGAACAAAAGTGTTTAGCTTCATCTTTTTTTCTATTTCATCCATTTTCAAATACTCACTGTAATTGTAAACCTTAAGCTGCAGTGTATACACTAAAGATGACAACAAATCTCCCAGCTCGACTTGACTTGTGTTTATGTCTACTTTCAAATACCTTAAGAGAGGAATACCTGAACAAAATAATAATAAAGGGCTTTGCATATGATGCTGCATTGGTAAGGATATATCCTACACAGGACAAGCTGACTTTTTCTAGTATTTCTGTAATCCTCTCCAACTTTCGAGAGCAGATTCTGTGGATACATCATAACACTTCTGTGGTGAAAAATCTCTCTTTTTTCATCTTCAATATTTTGCTCTAAGTAGCTGCCATGGATAAGAGTAGTCATATATACCAGGGGCAAGCAAATGATTATCAAAAGTCTTATAAAGACTTATTAACCCAGTCTTTTAAAGAGAAAGAAGTGATCATATGTAAAGTATTCTAGATGCTAATTTCAATAAAAGATTCTTCATTGATGGACAGCATCATTTCTCTGTTAAACTGACAAATGCTAGACCATATGTTCCTTTTAAAATAATTTACAAGGCTTTAGGGGATATTTAATGAAGAAATATTATAGAAAATGATATTCCAATCCATCTAAGTTCTAAGGATTCAGCACAATGTCAGTAATATTTGGTTTAATGTTCTATTCTAGAATTTTTAAAAAATATAATGGTCTCTCTGTCCACTCATGTCTGACTCTATGGCATGGTGCTATCTCTGTTTCTTGGCCAAGAGAGCCAGTGTTGTCCGAAGACATTTCTGTAGTCACATGGTCACCTTGGCTATATGTCAAAGGTATATTGTGATCTTCCCATTGAAATGGTACCTATTCTTCTACTTCCAGTTGCGTGCTTTCTAATTGCTCGGCGGGCAGGAGCTGGGACAAGGAATGGGAGCTCACCTTGCTGTGCAGTGCTTGGGTCTCAAACTTGGATTGTTAGCTTTTCAGCTGACAAGCTCAGCGTCTTTAAATACTGAATTATCGTGCCCCATTCTATTCTAGATGAATAGTTAGTATTTTGTATAGTAACTCAAAATGGGTGTCAATAATGTAGTTAAAATTATAAGAAATCTACTCACAAATTAGTTTATTGCTGTTATTTCATGATTATGTCTTTCTTTCTATGAATCGTTGCATACTACAATTGTGTTCAAGCTCTACAAGCTTTTTTTCATAATTCAAAAATTACAAATGTAGGGGGGAGGTGAAGTGAACAGGAGTTACGTTTCATGAACTGTACATTTATCTGTTGGAATCACTGTTCACTGTTTTATAAATAAAAGCTGTCCTTCCCTCCAATCTGAAAACAGCACTTAGTTAAAGGCTCAGAAAAACTATCTACAAATGATAGCATACTTCATAGAATGTATTAACCAACATAATCTTCACAATGCATTCTTACAGTATATACAACATATTCCTTTATGAATTTCATACATTTCTTTAGTAATTTTTCTTTAGCTTTATAGAAGAATCAGTTACTACCATGCTGTGTTAGATTATAATGTATAAAGATTATGCTATGAAAATGCTCCTTGTAGCCATGAATATATATAACCCAGAATAAAAACAATTGATACATAAAATGAAGGAACCTATTGCTTGCTCTCAGCTTCAGTTCCTCTGCTACTTATATGAATATAACTTCATCAGGTACTTTTTATTTGTAAAAGAAACCAAGCAAATGCTTCATTAAATAAAAATGACTCCAGGGCAGGAATTATAGACTCCATGGTTGGAAATTGGGCTAACTCACATTATTTGGCCTAAAGATTCTAATTTTGTTGTTCAAAAACTGCCCATAACTATTTGTGAGATTATCAGTTGCTCAGGCTTTTTAAGCTATCAATATGTATGGCTACTCCTACTGACGCTTTATCAATTTCTGTAAATAAGTCAGATAAACTTATGAAATTACATTTAAAGGAAAGAGCTCACTTTTAGGAATAAAAATTAACTGGAAAAATCTTATATGAAATATTTAAAACTTTTCAAATTATACGTGTAGAATATTGGAACTTATCTGGGAACAATTCTGCAACTTATAATAAGTATTAATTTAGCCAAAAATGAAGAGGGAAAGGAAGAATATAAAACTAGAAAACCAAAAATAATTCTTATATATTTAATGTATTTCTGTTGTCACTTCAGGAGCTAAAATGAAACAAAAAAATGTAAAAGAGTCTTACTTACCCCAACCAATCACACAAAATTTTAATATGTATTGACGAATGTACGTATTGAACACTTTTACTAGAGCTATATACATATGAACAGCTTCAAGGCCCATCCAGGTGAAAGTTGCCAGAAGAAAGTAGTGCAGGAGAGCAGCAATAGCTATGCAGAGGCCTTCTATGTCAAATGATGCAATCCAACCATCCAGGAGAAAGACCAGATTCAGGCCCAGCAAAGCTGTGCTCAAATTCATTAGGATTTTGGACGGATAATCTCTTCGCAGTTTTCTGGTAATAAATGGATAGCAAATTACAATGTGATCAAGTAAGAATTCCATCCTATTCATTTTCTGACATTTTTTTCTTGAACCTCAGAATTATTTAGGCCATAACAGAACACGCAGATATACTTGTGTCAACTGATAAAAGGTAAGTCCGTTTATAAACTTGTCCACTGAGAAAGTAACGTATATGCATTTGCTTTTAAGTGATATATTTATTCTAGCAGATTGTTTTGTAATTTGGGCTTGATTTTAATTTTCCATAGAAACCAGGATATCATCAGGAAGACAAAACTCCACGCCTGAATCTTTAAAATAAATTCAGGTATCATATGGACTTATGTGTGTGTGATATATGGGTATTTATGTTAGATAGAATAAATAAGTAAGAGCTGCATTTTAATATGATATCCCAGATTCTTACCTAGTTTAGGAATTAGGAATTTAGCTATTTTATTTATAGGCATCTGGTTTGTTTGCAACACCAAAACCACATTCCTGCCACCTCTCAAAGGTCCAAGCTCTGGACCTAACCTACGACCAGGATGCTACTTGCTTTGAGTTCCCAGTGGTTTATTAACCCGGAACTCAGCACACAATAAATTCCCAAAAACATAGGACTAAAGTTCGTGCTGGGAGCCTCCACCTCCCAGAGTCTTTTGAATGCTGGAGCTGTGTCCTTCCACCTTTAGAAAAACTGGCAGGCTTGATCAGCTGATCGTCAGGCTGCCGGCAGAGTCAATGAACAGCCTGCTTGGTGTGATAACAAGATGAGCAACAAAGCCAGCTTGCAGGCAATTACGATCCAGGCGAATGCAAGCCGGCTGACAATAAGCTTTTAGTCGGTGTCATGTTGCTTGCCCTTGCCACTTGGGGGCCAGGATGCCGCTTGCAGCTTTGGTCTCCACACCATCCACCTCCTGTCCTGGGGTCCCTCCCTCAGGTATGGCAAACCCTGGATCAGTGGGGACTGGGGTTTGACACCACAAAGAAAACACATGTCTTACTTTATCTATCTGCTGGTACAGCAGATCAGATTTTACTTTTATGGCATTTTCCTGATTTCTCATATTCATAGTCAATAATTTGAATTTTAAATCTGATTTTGTAGCTCTCTCCACAGAATGATTTTGGGCAATACTGATTAGATTGAAATACGGTGGTGTAATTAAAATTATTATTTAACAAATACTTACTCAAAAGCAATATATGTCAGAAGGGTTGCAGCAGAAAATATGGCTGATATTCCACAACCGATATATGTTATGAAAGTGAGGACTCTGGTATTTCCAGAATCTATTTGTGAAGCTGTTCTTGGCAAATCCTATACAGAAAAAGAAACAAGGTATATAAACTGTTAGAAAGACATTTTTGAAAACTGTTTTCTCCTGGGAAAACAACATAGATGAAAGTCAGAGGCAATCTGGCCAAAAGTACTGCCCATGATATATTTAATACTTTGCTGTCACACCTTTTGTTTCCTTCCTGTTGTTCCTGAAGTCATGAGGGTATGCTGTATATCAACTGAAATGAGCAGTAAATACAAAGCACTATAGCTTTATGTCATATCATCCTGCAGATTACAAAACAATCAGTAAGCAATCCTTTCATCTGCAGTTTTTATTTTCTCAACGTTCCTTAGAAATCAGGTTGATAAAAATAAATGGAACATTGGAAAAATGAGCGGAGATAAAACACTTTAAAATGTGGAATTGTTCCTAGGCACTGGGGTGGGTGGGTTAGGAAGCTAGTAGTAGTTCATGAGATGCTGCCATTAGTTACGATGTAGTTGTTGATTGGGTTTTTCTCTTGGCTATCATTATAGGCTTCTTACATTGCTGTTTATAGACGCTTCTCTTGAAATGTGCCCAGAATCACCACATCAAGATGAGTGGCCATATAAATTGATTAAATGAATGAGTAAAATGAGGATTGGTATCCAAATGTTTTTAAGAATATTTTCTTCCAACAGCTCACCCATTTCTCCCAGCCGGATCTCAAACATTAAACAGAGCACAACTGGAAATAATACAAAGGCTAAAAGGAAGGTTATCTTATATGGAAAAATGGAATCGAACAGATTTCATTGCTATTTCTCAACTATAAAAGTTTCCCACCTCTAAGAATTGCTTAAACCTGCTGGCCAGATTTAAAGACATGCTGTTTGTATGGAATGTGATAATGTGATGTCACCTTCAGATTTTCTGCTCACACAGATCTGAATGAAGATTCGCTAAGGTACAGGGGTGGACAATCTGCAGTTTCTGTCTATAGGGTCATTTTCTAAGTGATTGATCTTTCTCAGAACAACAGCATAAACACGCTTGTAAAAGTGAACATATCAGAATGAGATTCTTACAGCACAATTACACTCATACCTATTTATACCGAAGCCCCACTTAGTTCCATAGACTTTCCCCCAGGTAAGTAAGAATAGTCTTTCAGCATTAAAAATTTCAGAAAAAGTACTGAACTATGATATTGACAGCCTCTGAAGTTGGTGCTGTTAATTTTCTTGAAAGAGACAAAAAGTGTTCCGTATTAAAGCACTCAGGCATTAAAGAGGTATAAACATCATCTGGTAATGGGCACCACTGCCTCATCCTGTTTTAAATACAGCTGTCGATTGAGAAGTCTCATACGTTTCTGCACAGAAATAATCCTGGAAGTATTATTGGGATACGCAAATAAAAGAACTGCCCGCAAAACTAAAATTTTCAGGCTGGAATGCTGCCAAGATTCTGTAGACTTTTCCCTATCTTTGTTTCTAAAACCCTTGCAAAAATACTCACAGCAAGAGAAAGGACCCACTGAATTTATTTATTTTATTTTTATTTTATTTTATTTATTTGTCAATTGTTTACGAGATAAGTAAAAGTGTATACATAATTATGAATACATGAAATGAGTACATATAAGAAAAATAAAAGAAAAATAAAAAAAACAATAGGACAGGGACGGTAGGCACGTTGGTGCGCTTATGCACGCCCCCTACAGACCTCTTAGGAAAGGGGTGAGGTCAATAGTAGACAGTCTAAGGTTAAAGTTTTTGGGGTTTGGGGAAGAAACTACAGAGTCGGGTAGAGTATTCCAGACATTGACCACTCTGTTGCTAAAGTCGTATTTCCTGCAGTCAAGCTTGGTGCGGTTAACCTTGAGTTTGTATCTGTTGTGTGTTCTTGTGTTGTTATGGTTGAAGCTGAAGTATTCATTGACAGGTAGGACATTGCAATGTATGATTTTATATACCATGCTTAAATCAGACCGAAGACGGCGTAATTCAAGGTTTTCTAGTTCTAGAATTTCAAGTCTGGTGGCATAAGGTATTCTACAACGAGTAGAGGAGTGGAGAACTCTTCTTGTGAAATATTTCTGGACTTTCTCAATTGTGCTAATATCAGATACGTAATGTGGGTTCCAGACTGATGAGCTGTATTCGAGTATTGGTCTAGCAAATGTTTTGTATGCTCTAGTTAGTAGTGTGATATTACCAGAGAAAAAGCTACGTAAGATTAGGTTAACAACTCTTAATGCCTTTTTGGCTATGTAGTTGCAGTGGGCACTAGCACTTAGATCATTAGAGGTGAGTATTCCAAGGTCCTTTACAGAGCTTGGATCATCAACAAGATCTTGACTATTCAGCTTGTATTTTATTTTCGGATTTTTTTTGCCAATATGTAAGACAGAGCATTTATTTGTTGAGATTTGAAGTTGCCATTTGTTTGACCATTCTGATACATAGTCAAGATCTTTTTGAAGGGTAGCAGTATTGTCTGTGGTATTGAACAGCTTTACATCATCAGCGAAAAGAACGCAGTTGCTCTTAATATGATCACAGAGGTCATTTATGTAGAGTATGAAGAGAGTTGGTCCTAGAACACTGCCTTGGGGGACACCACTATTGACAGGTACAGAATTTGATAGGACACTCCCAATTTTGACCATTTGTTGTCTGTTTGACAGGAATGCTTCTATCCAGTTATGCAGTTGTCCAGAGATACCATAGGATTTTATTTTTAGTAGTAGTTTGTCATGTACCACTGAATCAAAGGCTTTACAGAAGTCTATGTAGATTGCATCTATTGTTTTGCCCTGATCAAGTTGTGTAGTCCATATGTTTTTGCAGTGTAAGAGTTGCAGATTACAGGATAGCTTTTTTCTGAAACCAAATTGTTTATTGGAGAGTAGGTTGTTTGTCTCTAAGTGGAGGATGATGGATTGGTTAATAATTGATTCCATGACTTTACAGGTGACGCAGCATAAGGAGATTGGTCTGTAATTTTCAACTAGGCAAGGGTCTCCCTTTTTGAAGATGGGGATGACTGTGGCTTGTGACCATAGGTTAGGCAAGGAACTGGTCCTGAAAGATTTTTCAAAGATTATGCTTAGAGGTTCGGCTATGGCAGTGGATAACTTTTTTAAGAGATAGGCACATATTCCATCCGGTCCAATAGATAGGGATGGTTTTAGATTGCGTAGTGCTTTTTCAACATTGTCTTCTGTAAAATCGATATGTATTAGATCACTGTAGTTATCTGTGGTTCGGCTAGGAAATGCTGGGCATGATCCATTGCTGTTTACAAATACTGAGCCAAAGAATGTGTTAAAGATGTTGGCTTTAATGGTGTCGTCATTGCAGTCTTTACCATTAGGTCCTATCAGGGGTGGGATGGACCTTGAATCTTTTAGTTTGTTGTTTACAAAATTGTAAAAAGCATTGGTGGAATTGGTGCTTAGAAGGTTTTCCTCTTGTTTAATATGATAATTGGTGCATTCGGTCTTTATTTGGTGGCATAAATTTTTGTATCGGCTTTTGAAATTGGCAACGTGACCAGATTTGTTTTTCCGCCAGAGTGATCTCTTTTTGGATTGAAGTTTCCTTATTGTTATGGGCAATCTGTTTTTTTGTTTTGTTTTGGGAGTAGTTGTTGGTACATATAGTTTGATGACTCTTTTGACTTCAAGTAAAAATATGTTGTAATGGTCTTCAACAGTATTGCATCCATTGAATAGAGATTGCCAATCAAGGGATGAGAGATCGTTGTTTATAAGATCATAGTTGCCTTTTTTGAAATTATAATTGGGGATCACATCATTGTGGTGTTTTTTGTGTGGACGTATGTTTAGACAAAAGTCAATCATATTGTGGTCACTGCTGGAAAAGGGTTCTTTAGTTTGTATTCCATAAATTAAATTCAAACTATTGCAGAAGATGAGATCGAGGCAGTTGTTTAGTCTAGTGTTGTTGGATACTAGCTGTTCCAGTCCCAGATTTGTAACAGCATTGTAAAAGGTTGCATGTATGGTTTCAGTTGTACATTCATTTAGGGTCCAGTCAATATGAGGCAGATTGAAATCACCAAGAAAGATAAAAGGGTATGGGCAGGATGCTGCCCATGTTAGTAGTGTATTTAGCTTGTTTACATGTTCAATGTCATAATCAGGTGCTCTGTAACATAGTAAGAATCGAATTGTGATATTTAAGGACAGTTCACAGATAATGGTCTCAGGAAGAGCAAGCTCCTGGGTAACTTGGATATTTTTTAGATGTAAGGACTTTTTGTAGAAGATAGCAACACCACCTCCTCTACGAATTTCACGATCTGATCGGTAAACATGATAGTCTCTTACTGTGGTAATGGAGTCGGGGAGAGATGCATTGAGCCATGTTTCACAGACAAATATAATGTCGAATTTAGCCATATTTAGTAGGAGGAAAAATTCAGGTATTTTATTTACAAGGCTTCTTGCATTGAGTAGCTTGCATTTAAGGCCAGCAGTAGTTGGAGTTGAGGTAGTTAGGGGCGTGCATGCCTAGTCTTGGGTGATGGTGGATTGGTTGAGGTAGGGTTGTGGTTGAAGGTTAAAGCTGAGTTGTGGGATGTGTGACTTACTTTTGATACAGTCAGCATGGTAGTCAATGTACAGGTCCTTCTCCCCATTGTCGAGACGTTTTTTGAGTTCAGTGCGGAGTACACGGGAGCGGGCACGTTGCTGTATGGTTAGGTCAGGGCGACAACGGAGGTTCTTATGGTTGGTGTTGGTTTTGGCGAGTGAATTTATAGTGTAAATGAATTTGCGTTTGCTTGATTCATTTTTGCAAATGACCCTGCAGAAGCGTGGGGTCACAGAGCCGTCACTGTTTTTGAGCTCTCGGCCAATGCGGGAAATGTCAAGTATTTCATCAGGGGAGATGGTTGATGCTTGATAATCACTGATGATGTTTCGGACAGTTGTGAAAGAATGCTCTCCTTTTTGAAAAATATATAGAAGTAGAACATAATAATATTGAGAAGGAATAGAAAACTAACCCTAACCTTAAACCTCACCCAATATCACTAGGCCTATGGGAGCCATATACAGTATTAACTTTGTGGGTATGATGTACTATGAATCATAGGAGGGAAGTAGAAAGGAAGAAGTAGAGAAAAACACAGTATTTGAACCTAGTTTGTTTAAAAAAAATTAAACCAGGAAGTTTTATGTACATACTTAACTTTTAGCATAAAAAGTATACCACCAAATATCTTAGAAGCTGTCAATATCACTACAAAAGTTGAAATGGTTACTGAAAAGAGCTCATTGTCAAAAAAGTTACAGATAGAATTTTATAGATTTTAAGAAGTTCAGTATTTAACATATATTTTCCTTGCCTGCAGAGGGTTCAAAAGGGCCAAAAATTTTTTTAAAAGGAAAATATTCTGAAATAACTTCCAGAAAAGTTATTTTCCTAAAACAGCAACAGAAATATAATTCTGATAGCAGATTCTCACTCTGGACTAGAATATGTAAGAAAAGAGAACTATATATAGTCTTCTATGTTGCATTATTAACTGTATGCATAGGGATCAAAGCAGAATAAAATCATATGATGTCTCTGTCAACATTGAACATTGCTGATGAGGATGTATTTCTCATGTTTTCCTATGTTGATAACATTCAATGACACATTCTCCTCTAATACTGTACCTAATATCATATTGTACGGTATCAAGAATACTACAATTCAGATTAAAAGAATAAAAAATGTATGGTATGTTCAAAAGTACCTCATTTAAGTAAAATTGGTAAAGTATCTCAGGGAAGATAGCAATTTGTGAATGTTATGAAAGAATAAGACCGGTACTTACCATCAATATGCCAAAATGTGTAAGATGATTGCAGAGACAGATAGTCTCATTTTCATTTGACTCGGGAAGTGCATAGCAGCCTGTTTTATTCCACCCACCTTGGCCTCCTATAATAATTAATTATTATTGTTACTGATGATCATCCTTTTAAAATTGTTCATGTATGTTTCATATGTACAACATATGAAAATAACTTATGAGAATTATTTAAAAAATAGGATTTAAACATGCAGTAAAATTATATATATATATATACACAATATATATACACACACACAGAGACAAAATACACGCACATATATAATTATATATGTATATATAATTATATATGTATGTATAATTATATATGTATGTATGTGTGTGTGTGTGTATACACACACACACACACACACACACATACATACATACATACATACATATAAGTCTTGGCTTGTTCAGGTCTTTTCCCATGTAAGATTGGGAGCATCTTGGCAATGTTTCGATGAGGTCCCACTCGCCATCATCAAGCTGGTGCTTTTGGCTTCATGCTTATACATTGGAGCTGCCGTCTCCCTATATATATACTGGTGGGAAGGTTGGCTATGTTGTCATTTCTTGATTGGTTGATGGAGTTGATGTTTGCAGATTGGCTGGCTTTTTCGTAAGAACATGTGTGGCTGAGGTATTGGCTGTGTGTCTATCAGCCTCCTATGTTGTAATGACCTGGGTAATGGGCTATGTGATGACCTTCTGAGTTCTATTGTTTTGACATCCTGGGTCTTGTGCTGTAATCTCTTGGGTTTTGTTGCAACATCTATTGTTGCAACATCCTGAGGTTTAGTGGTGTAACCTCCTGAGTTCTGTGATGTGATATCCTGAGCGCATGGCTGTGATGTGATGTTCTGGGTTTTGGTTTGGCTCCGAGTTTGAGGCCTGGATATGTGTTCATGGCATGTATCCGTTTGTTTGGTTTGGGGGTCAGGGTGTGTGGCAGCTGGTGATGCAGCTGTGGTCTGGTTTCTGGATGGTGGTTGTCTTTCGTCTATGGGATGGGTCTCAATCTTACACGGGAAAAGACCTGAACATGCCAAGACCTGCATACCTGTACCCGTGAAAATCTACAAAAATATCTCTATCTCTATCTCTATCTATCTATTTATCTATCTATCTATCTATCTATCTATCTATCTATCTATCTATCTATCTATTACAGACACACTCTCTCTCTCTCACACACACACACCATGATGAAAGCAAAAATGGACAAAGTGAAAGAGGCAGGCAACATATGAAAAAGATCAAACATTAAACTCCATAGAAATGGAAAGTTTATTAGCAATTACTTAAAGAGTTAAAAAGGTAGCCAGTAAATTTTTGTAAGTAAGATGCTGTATTGCTTTAAATGGTACCAAAGAAAAAGCTGTATCTCAAATACCAATTTTATCAGTCCTGTTTAAGGGAAGACCATGAACAGAGATGGACATTCTCATTTTGGCAGGGGGAAAAACTATTCTATGTTCAAATTTATGTTGAGGGTAATAAACCCTGCTTTCTCCTATAGTGGTTCGTCCCCTGCTTTTTCACAGTTTGGGCAATTTAAACAAGTATGATGGAATGATGAAACATACAGTAGCTTTAACAAACTGATTCTTCAGGGGCATCTACAGTACAGTCAATTATATCAAAATGGCAAGTGTGACAGAGCAACTGAAGCACTGCCAATTTTATATGTGATACTTGACATGGACATTAAAAATGAGAGTGTTCAATTGCCTGGTTGCACTTCCTGTTATGACATTGTTGATTGTCATTGAAGAGGTTCCTATAACTCTGTGACAATAAGATGAGCAACAAGCTAATTTAAAACATTGAGCAGTTTACCTCAATGGATGACAATATGCTTCTACCTGTTTTAATGGAAGGATTTAAGAACTGTTCACAACTGCTATAAATGATTACTAAATACTTTCAACAAAATCTTACTTTAATATTATCAATCCTTCTAGTTGGGCTACACAAAGGCAGACCAAAAAAGTTATGGATGAAGATTAAGATGAAGTTTAGTTGTAGCCAAATAAAGGTTATGGACAACTATGCCCCATCTCTTTGTCCTTCGTAATGCATTATTTGAAACAGATCCTCCAGCTGGTATGTGATAGAGGTTGAAACCCTAAAAAAAGTCTCTATTACCACCACTAGGGACTAATGTAAAATCTAACCTATGCTGACTTGGATGCATCTCAAGACTTCCAACAACTACCCTCCATCAACACATCTTTTCATTACTCTAGAACAGTGGTTCTCAACCTTTTTTTTTTTTTTTTTACCATGGACCTCCTTTAAATACCTTTTATGGCCAAAGACCATAGCCACAGACCACCAAGATTTAACTCAAGATTTAAATCACAAGATTTCTTCAAGCCTTCATGGAATCCTTATGATGACATGTGGCCCTCCAGTGGTCCGTGGACCACAGGTTGAGAATCACTGATCTAGAAAATGAAGTATCTGGATAGGCATAGTTGCTTGGTTATAATCACTTTCCAGTCTGGATAGGAGAAGTCGCTTAGTTGTAAATATTTTCCAGTCCATTTTCTGATTCCTGAGTGTGGTCTGAATTGTAACAAGATTACAGAAGTAGTAAATCCCAAAGAAATACATGGAAACTACACATCTATAATGGATGGTTGGATTATATTACATAATTGGATTATATTAAAGGGTTCACCACTAGAGGGAGGCTCAGTGCCACTGATAGACTAAACTTTTAGATTTTACATCTTGTATAAATGATTAGTAGGTTTGAATGTGAATTGTCTTACTGCTAAGTAAATAAAAAGTTTTCAGAAATGCCCCATATTTTCCATATCAAAGAAAAGGGAAAAAATAAACTTACTGTTCTTGTTCATGTCCCAAAAAACACAAGTAGCATTAGGAGCCTTCTAAAAATTAAACAAACACAACAAAAAAACACGTGTTCCCATTAGGTACATGAATTAAAAAGTAATATCTTCTAAAACATTATTTATTAAGCAAGGAAACTAATTCTCCATCTCCATTTCTTTCCATTTATTGTTCTAAATTTGTAAACACTAAAGAACAAATTAGAAACAATCTTAAATTACCATTTTCAATTAAAAATCCAAACTTCTAAACATGCACGCTTAATCAGTTGGATAACTACTGGAGAAAAGTAATCATTGTGGAATTTAACCCTTCAGCTCTGTTATGCTCTCCTGAAGAAAATCCATTTTCTAAGATGTTGTAATTTTGTGGCTGTCTCAAAACTGCAGGATTAGAAATTATTAAACTTAGTCCTCTAACAAAGAGCTAATGTGAATGAAAAAAATAGAAAGTGCTTGCAGGAGTTAACTGGATAATGTGGATTAAGGAATGCTAGAATCAACACTGGTGCTATTTTGTTTTGTAGATTCACAGCAAGGAAAAGCAGTGAAAGCTGCTGTATTTGTTACTCTGATCTTCCCTTTCTCCAGTTTCTCCCATTAACATTGTGAAAAAGTATAGACATAATGGGTCATGGATTCCTGTACATGAAACTGGAACCTACATGCAACCTGTCTCTTTAGTGAAGAAAAAGGAATGCTAACACATTTCTTTAAGGATATACTTGCTGCTTATATTGTTTTCAATTCACAAAGGACAATAACATTTACCTTCAGTTTTTGTCTCCCAGCTTCCTGATTTCAGGGTTGAATTTGGAGAAAAAAACAACTGCGGGCCACAGAAAATAATTCAGAGGTTGCCAATACATGTGTACTATGGAGAGGTATTTCTGTTTCTAAAAACCATTTTGTTTTGCCCTCCTGTTCCGTACAAATGAATATTTTGTTGCTCTAACTTAACCAATTATATTTTAAACAAAAGCTGAAGAACTCTTACCTGGATGTTATCATGTTTGAATGTATGCTTGATTGTAATTTTCACAGACTCCTTGAGATCACGGATAGTAGTATTTCCCACACTGCAGGCTACCACGTAACTTGTTAAATTGGAAGGAGCTTCTGTATCCTTTAAGATATTAATTTAAAGATTTATAGGAAAATGTGATTTTTGTAAACCTCCATTTAGTAACAAGAGTTCATACATTTATTTCTCCACATTACCAGATTAAATATTGCCAGTACATAATTCTTAACATTACTTGATTGTAGAACATCCCGTTCATTAATTTTAAATGTTGTTTTTTCCTCACAGAAAGTCTGCTGTTTCGCTTACTACTGCAATGCATAATTTTGCAGTCATTCTGAGAAAATATTTTCCTTTTGATATTTGTTTGGAGACAATTCAAATACAATCCTGACCGATGTCTGATGATATAATTAGATTAATTCCCAATCTAAGAAGGAATAGCTTTTCTTATCATATTAACAAAACCTGTCTACAGAAAGGAGATCATACTTATTTTCAGCTTTACTATTACTTTATACATTACCCTATTATGAATATCTAAAAGGGACATACAGTTTTCAAGTCCTGTATCCCCCCACCTCAAAAATCCAAGCATGTTTTCACAGGCTGCTTATCTAAATTATGATTATCATCCAATTATTTCAGTACACTGCTTCACATAAACTATGGTTCAAACCTGATCTGCAATCTAAATTGGGACTGAGCAAGGACTACAGTTACCTTCCAGTCTTTATTCATTGTACATTATCTTTTGATAAAGAGATGGAAAAGAAAAAGACCTTGTGGTTTATTAACACCCATACATAAAATAATTAACGTTTAATGCATGAGCAGGGAAGCTGTTTCCAGTTTAATACAATACTCCTTTCAAAGACAGTAGGTTGAAGCTCTCTTTTGGTAGCTTATATGCTAAAAACTCTTACACCCAAGGTGGGTAAAGCCATCTGCTCCCTGTCGTATATGCACAACAAATACCAGTACATGATACTGTACTTTATAAATCTAATAGGATAGGGAAGCAAACATCTCTGGTCATATACTGGTATCTACTTTCTAGTTCTCCCCTAGGCCTGGTAGAGAGAAACTTTGAAGACAATTTAAGGTAAAGATAAAGGTTCCCCTTACACATACATGCTAGCCGTTTCCCGCTTTAGGGGGTAGTGCTCATCTCTGTTACAAAGCTGAAGAGCCAGCATTCTCCGAAGATGTATCCATGGTCATGTGATCAGCATAACTAAACACCGAAGGCACACGGAACTCTGTTACCTTCCCACCAAAGTGGACCCTATTTTTCTACTTGCATTTTTACATGCTTTCAAACTGCTAGGTTGACAGAAGCGGGGACAAGAAACGGGAGCTCACTCCATTATGCGGTGCTAGGGATTCAAACTGTTGACCTTTCTGATTGACAAGCTCAGCATCTTAGCCACTGAGCCACTATGAAAATAATTTAGTTCATGTCAAACTAGGACAGTTCAAAAGACCAGAAAATCTTTACCTGCCTTTTCCCCTCTGGAAGCTGAATAACATTCCCTAATTATGTTTCATTAGGATGATGTCATAACGAAGTTCCAATTACTATATGCCTTTGATTTTCCTGCTCATTCCAAATGTCTTTGTTGTAAAGGCTTTTTAAAAAAAATGTAGAATATGAACTCTACATATTACTAAGTGTGTTTAAAAGACAATAACGATTGGTCATGGTTATTTGCCAAGCTATATAACCTTTAATATATTCTGATTAAAAAAAACCTGTGATATATTCCAGCACAATGCAGATAAATTTGTAGATTGTTATGAATTGTAGGAAACAAACTTTTGACAAACAAAGCTTCCTTCTGGAACTCTGCTTTAGTATAATATAAAAAATATTTTCCTGATAGTTTTCTAAAACACAGGACCTCTTAGAGTAGCAGACTGAAGATGGTTCTATGAAGAATGAAGATCTGGTGTGTAGACGAAGGAAGAGAACATCACCCACCAATGGTTCAGAGGGTTGCTCCTCACCAGGAGACCACAGAAAAGTTGTCCCTTGTAGGTTTAGACTAGCAAATAGCCATCTTGTTCAAACCACAGTCAATGGCTTTCAAAGGACATAAAGTACCCATATTTCATTTCCTAATCACATTTGGAAATTACTTATTAACTACTTTTCAGCTATTACAAACCTTTGGAGTAACAAATCTGAAAACATCAGGTGAGTCTGCCTTCAATCCTTAACGAAATAAAGTTTAAGAACTTTTTTTAAAAAATGAAATAAACAGCAAAAAGCTAATTAAAACTTTGACTTTAGGAAATGCTCAACTGATAAAGAGTCTGAAAAGAACTATAAAGAAACTGATAAATTTGAACTGAGGTTCTGGGATTAATTATAAATTGAATTGTTTTGAATATTTGTAAAACATATTAAGATTTTAAAAATTGGACACTAGAGGAAACTAAAGATTTATTTTAAAGGAGAACACATTAACAGTTACAGAATGGTGCAAAATATTCTAATGCTGAAAATACTGAAAGACACTTTTGAAAAATAGAGTCAACAGTTAATCTTAACAATGTATGTCTCTATACACTGTCTAAAAGTTGTTAGAGAAATTTTACTTGACAAGACAGCTTCTGTTAAAGGTTGATTTACAAATGACAGGCTACAAAAATTATATGAAAGATGATGTTACAGTGGACATATAGTAGAAAAGAAAAATATGTCTCAATAGTTTAAAAGAATATATAAACAATAAACCAAGATAATAACCTGGATTATTTTTTATACATTATCAATGGGACTCGTTAAAACTTTGAATAACTATGTGAGAAGGGATAAATAAATAAAATAAAATAAAATATATAATAAATAAATAATAATATAATTGAAAATATAGCTACCACATTATATGAATGGACTAAAATTAAGATTTGTTAGAAGTAAAAGGAAGGAATATAAAGTTGCTCCATTTGATCAAAGTTAACTGAACTGTTGTTATTTCTGGCAATCCTTAATGGCTTTTGCAGATATCAGGATTGTAACGATGAAGTTTTGTTTATGGAAAGGGATGGATATGGGAAGAAGAGATCATTTGTTGTAATTTAAAGGAAGGTGAAAAGTTGCCAAAATTGTTTATACTTCTTGTGATGAAGGTTGGAAGTGACTGTTTTTTTTTTTTACTATATTCTTTCTTACTAAACTTTGTATCTTTTTTCTTTTTCTTTGCACCTTTTACTTTTTCTTTTTTTTAACTTTTCTTTTAGTTTGTGTTAGCTTTTCTATTGTAATTGTTATCTTTAATAAAAGTATTTTTAAAAAGAATTTATTTGAACAAGCAAAAAAACAGAAGAGATGTAATTATTGTACTTATGAACAAATACTCACATTTAAATTGAAATTATTAGCACAAAACTCTATTTTGAACAAAACGGATTATTGTATTCCAATCCCAGCTATCACTCAGGATTTATTTCTATTGGACTTAGAAGCTCTAGTGTATGAATATGCTACTGGTATTGACTTCATATGTTCTTCAGAAAATCTTGAGGCAGATTAATATTACTTATTATTTGAAAATTTTCCCCAAATTAAATGTAAATATTTATTGATGAAGACATTTCTATTTTGCCTTTCAGGGCATATTGCACCATAAAAGAGCATGCAAAAACAAAACAAAACAAAAACACCAGTAAAATTAATAAAAGAGAGTGGAATAATAATGTTTTCAAAATTCTTTTAAAAACCAGAAATAAAGAGATCCATATGTATTTCACTGAATAATACATTCCAAAGTTATGCGGCAATTGAGAAGAATTTCTACCCATCAATGCATTGTTCAGCATGACAGCAGGATCTCTTTAGCAGATCACAGAACTGAAGAAAGCTCATAAAGCAATACCTGCATATCAAAGAAATATTTACATTCTCTTTTCAAATCCTATAGTTCTGGTATTCTTTAGCCTCCCCTCCTATAACTATGCATTTTATAAATTTACCAAATAAATTATCAAGACTTGTTTTTTAAATACCAAAATTAAAAATAAGATTTTTTTTAATGACCAGTGTAATCCCTTGCTTTGGGATGGGGTCAAGATAACTGATTAGAGCTGAGTGTTTACTGGCCGGATGCCCTTCTTGTCCTTTATGCAGAGTTCACTGCAGACAATCATTCATTGCATACAGAGAGAGAAATATCTGCCGCTACCTAGGATTGAACTCAGAGCGTTCTGATTGTGAGGTGACAACTCCACTTTTAGGTCACCATGACTCTCAAGGTTAAAAAGAAGAATAAATCAACAAAAATTAAAGCAATAGAAAGAAAAAGAGCCACTATTGGTATTTTTAAAAAATGTACCCATTAATTTCACCATGCAATTCACTTTATGTCTAAATTGGCCTTTACAATAAAAAAGGTCTTTTACTATATTTGCCAATCATAGAAACATTTTCAAAAGATTTTATCAGATAATGAACACATAGAGGTAAAATGAATGTCATCCTGCTATTCCTCTCTCTAAATTTATAGTGTCTGAATAGGGTCATAAAAACAGTACCATCTTACCAAAATTATAAAGATAAATTTCAATATTCTTACTTTCTTTACATAATCATTAAACATATTGATGCCTACCTGAAAGAGTCCATTTTTATTGAAAAAAGTGAATTGAGCCCTGGATATTGTTTCAAGATCTTCTTGATTTAAATTATTTAGCAAACTTGGAGGCAAATAAATAGTAGCAAGAGAATTGTCTTGGTTTTTATCAAAATCAATCTAAAACAGAAAAATGAAAAAAAAAATCTCTATCAAAATAAACATAGAAACAATTTACCATATTGAATGAGGGAATATATTGTTTGATTACTAATTATTTAGTATGATTCCTAATTATTTAGTTAATAACAAGTTTTAGTCCTTCCTCAGCATTATGAAAACCAATATTTATTTTGTTTCAGTTCATAAGATTATGCCCTTATAAAGAAAATTTAAAAAAAATTCTATTAAACATAAATATCAATTTAATATTGTTTATTTTTACAAATCAACATCAATGTTACTTTATTGAAAATATTTTCATTTAACAGTCTATATATAAATTCATGTTGTATAAAATCAACTTCTATTTTTTTTCAAAGCTATTGTTTACCTAATTTAAAGGTTTGGATTCATTTGGAAGTAAATAATTAAGTGAGTCTTTCTCACCAACCTCCCTCCCAGTGAAGCTACAACTAATAGTTGCAATCAGCCCTTGAGGCCACTTTCAAGAACTGCTCAACTCATAAATCCTAAATTAGACTACTTTCAGCATGGACCAGATTACAATGTTTATCACAGAATAACACTAGTTTTCAAATTCTAATATCTTGTGTCAGGCTTTTTATTTAACTTGCTGTTGAAAGTTCTTAGAACAGTACACAACAATACAATACAACTCAAACCCCTTATCAGGTAGGACACAGGCCCAAAACCTGAAACCAGAGATGGATCATATTCTTCAACCTAAAAACAGAACACTGCTTATGTGCCCTGCTGGGAACCACAAGGAGTGTGGCCAAAAATGTTATAAGGTCTTCAGAGAGAGTAGGACTAAATTGCTCAGGCTGATGCCAAAAGAGTAGTAACCTCTCCATATCAGCTAACATTCACTAACAAACCTATGAGGTTCCCCTCCCATATCTACTTAAAAATGCCCTTGTCAGAAAACATTCACAGAAAGCTGAATTGACCCTGGGTGGTGGCAGGCAGAGGAATAAATCAGGAACCTGTGGCCCAGTAAACCAAATTGTTTCTATTCATTGACCGTATCTCAAAGATAGTGTGGCTAGCATGCTGACCTAGTAAGATGGGATAAATAATAATAAGGTCACATGGGTGGCTTTATCTAAAACATTCCACACTGTGTTTGCCTTTCTCTTTGTCTTGTCCTTGCTATGTAATAGGCCAAAGGTATACAAGCTCTGGTGCTGTTTTTGCTCATGCTTGTTCGACAGAGTGTCAATGTTATGTTGGGAGCCCAGTATACACTGTTGCATGTAAATAAAACTATAGTGTATCTTCAACATGATTTGATTTCTTTAGGTGAATCATGTTTTGACAATAACAACATTTAAGGGCTTAAAGAACTCATCTGCCCTTAAACCACCCCATGGGAAAAATCTAACATGTATTTTTGGAGGGTGAGAGATGGCAGCAATTTTTAAGCAGTAAAAAGGATGCTTTACCATGCAACGCATCTTTTTGGCTTTTAAAACTCTCCCCAACTCTCCTCCTTACAAACATCTGGCCTCAATCACTCTAGGGAGTGCTAGAAGCCACAAATGGAGGGTAAACACATATGGGTTACACAGTGTGCATTGCTCATCCCTGTCTTGAATCAACAGACTTAGCATAAATCACTGAATAAGTCAATGGATTTCCCGTCAACATGTCTTGCTTGAAAATAATCCTAGATGTTTATACAGTATGTAAATGTTCTTGATATACCTGAAAATCAGAAGCATTGTTCTGGGGACCGACACTGAAGGAAGAACCATTGAATAAAGATGAATTCAAAGATGAAACTCCAAGCGCTAAGTTTCGGGTTGAAATGCTCATGGAGGTACCTATAAACCGAATCTTCAATGCCAAGGCATCAATTGTCTTTATAGCTCTAAAATCAAACATACACACAAAATTCATGAAAATAATGAGTTTAAAAACACTTTGGAGTCTAAAGAAACTTTGCATGCATTAGTAGGCTTTATTTTTGGTATAGATTTACTTAATTATAAAGAAAAAACTAAACACAGAATATTCAGATATTTGTGAGCAAAAAGACTGAACTACAGTCTTTCTTTGCTCTATTCTTGGCCTTGCTGGAGAAGGAAAAAGTTACTTCTTTCTCAGAGCTTCATTTTTCTCTTAGAATGGTGGTATTTTGAATATATATTTCTTTTTAACATAGATTATGATGCAGCTTTTAGGCCTAAGTCTATTTTTTTATTTTGCTCATAGCGATGGGGAAATCTTGTCATAATTGGTAGATACTGGAGAGATATCCAGGATTCTTGATAGTTGTTGGCCCTACAATACAATTATAACTACTCACAAAACCAGTTGTATCCCATCTATTAGCATGGCCAGAATGGGAGAGAATTTGCAAAAGCTTTATTGGGCATTATAATTTCCATTCTACTGCCATGCTGGGAGCCATGATTGCTCCAAACAAATGCGTCTCTTTTCTGGGCATCTGTTCCTTTGGATTACATTTGCAGTTAAGACTTAATTGATGTTACTTGAGCTAACGAGTTACCATAATTAGATTCAATGAAACACTTCTTTGCTTTCTATCTAATACTAGTGAATGTTATTAGCATCACTAGCATGTCCTGTCACACTTATACCTTTCACTTTTACTTATTTCAACTGTTATGATCCTAGAGCAGGGGTGGGCAAACTTTTTGGCTCGGGGGCCTCATTGACTTTTAAAATTTGACAGACGGGCCGCCACTTGGTGTCGAAATGCCTGTCATTACAAGTCAAAATCAAATGAATGCAATCATTCAATCATTCACATCAAACCTTAATTCTGTACCAGTCTTCGGCGGGCCGGATTAAAAAGACCAAAGGGCCGGATGTGGCCCCCGGGCCGTAGTTTGCCCACCCCTGTCCTAGAGGAAAACTGATTTAATATTCAAACTGTAGATTTACTATCAAGCCCATGAATCGAGAAATTAAGATACTTAAAAATAAATTTCACTTCTTTATTGATTTAAATAATTCATTTGAGGGGTTAATTTTAAAATGCAGATAAAGTTTCACACTGTTTATATGTCCTACCAATATATAAACATTTTTTTTAAAATGCATACCACTCAGATCCTCTTCCCGTAACACTTACTCAGAAGATGATGCAGCCAATACATTATCAGAACTAGTTAAAATATTAGAAAATATCGTGATCACAGTAGAACCCAAGGATTCATTGATTTCTTCATCATTCACAATTTTTTTTAATTTCTGGATCACATCATTAACTTTGTCTGAAGTCAACTGCTGCCCTTCTCCCGTAAGATTCAGTAGCTGGTTGGCTATGTCAGCAGCATTTTCTGAAAGCACATGAAGAAAGCAATATATGGCAATTAGTCCCAGAAAAAGTTCCTTTTTTCCAATTATAGCTAATCTGTCAAGGATCAGGGTGTGTATGTACTTAGTGCATATTTTGTGTACTGCTGTATTAGAGCTTCCAGATGGTAAAATAGGAGATGGCTTTGGACAGTAGGCTAATGTACTCTGCTTTTTTGCTCACTGTTGTTTGGCTGTTTCAGACTCTGTTGTGTCTGATTGTTTCTTTCATTCTCTGGAGTCCCAAAGGTGCTTTTTCAAGAGACAACTGGACTTTGAAAGTCCAGTTGCCTCTTGAAAAAGTACCTTTGGGACAACCATGACCTGGATGTCTGAGAATCTCCATATACATTTCATTCTCTGGATTTTGGAATTCATTTGTTCTGCCTATCAGCTGTAAAGCTAGTACGATTTTGGCATTGGTTTTTGTATTGTGTTATACAGTTCTGTCCATTGCTTATGGAACTGCTGCCTGATGCACATGGCTGGGGACAGAGATTAGCTTATTGACATTAATATGCTGAATGAATGCCTGAAATCTAAAGATGCTCTTTAAAGATGACAGGCGAGAGAGGAAACAGGCTGTTCTGATTTGTTAGCTGCTTCATTTGTATCAATAAATGATATTCTTTATCTTTAAAGCAATTTTTCTGCATGATCTTCTAGTCCTAGTCAGCAGGAGTGCTACCCAAATTACTCATGTGGTGCTAGGGTGAGCAGATTTTGGCCATGTTCCCATAGCAAATGCTAAAAATGTTCTGGTTTTTCTTCAGTAGGAATAAAAGAAAAGCCTCAACCTGATAAAATATTCTGGGTAGAATTTAAATATTTATGCTATAAAAAAGGCACCATGCTGCTGTTGCTTTATATATCTAAAATAAACATGGATTGTGCTTTAGAGTCTAACAAAACTGCATCGTTCTTCAGTAGAGAATTAAAGAGTTTTATAACAGAGACTAACAGTTAGAAAACTTTTCTTGGCAATGCCCAGATGTATTTGAAACTTGGAAAAGAAATATGTCAAATTTATCTAGATGAAGCAGATACACAAATCCTTACCTGTACAGTTTCTAAGATCAGGAGTATCCCAATGAGATGTGTAATTATTCATGCTTAGAAAGCTAAGTAAAGATAGAACAGAAAATTCTATTAGCAATCACTATATGGAAGTTCTTATGAAATCTCATAGTCCTGTATTGTTGTCAATCCTTTGTATCTTTTACTTCTTCATTTTTAAAAACCTATATCCGTCACTTTTTAATTATATCCATACTATACTTCATCTCAGTCTCACCACTAAGCATCTCATGATCTCTGAGCTGTTACCATGTTCGTGATGCAATCTGGGTAGGGTTGTCATAGCAGCTAATGGTGGCAGTGTCTCTTGGTCCAGTTTCTTTCCAAAAGTAATTCGTAGGCTGTTCCTCAGCCTCACATTTTTCTACAAGAGGAAATGAAAACCAAACAAACAACCATTAAAACTGTAGCTTTTTAGTAAAAGTTGTTAGACTAGTCTGAACAAAACAGGTTTAATTTTATACCAAGTTATTTTTATTTGCAAATGCTTAATGGAATGAGTATTTATGAAACAAAATGTAAATCACTGAGTACAAATGTACTTTCCAATTAGAGACAGAAATCATCTAGAATCAGGGAGAAATTAGTGTCTGTGCTTTTTTTTAATCTATACATTTTAAACTAATTTGTAATCTGACAATCGTAATAAATCAGGAATGTGTGGATCAGGACTGAAGAAAGACCAAATGATTCTAAATGTCCCTGGATCTGAATTGTGGCTTGTAATGCGGTATGCAAAGCTCACTATGTTGCTCAGTCTTATTGTCTCTAAGTAGGGCTCATGTAATGGCCCATTTCTAATCAAACTAACTCTGATCTGGCTTTGCCCGAATTCCATTACAAGTGCAAATGGCTTCAAGAAGCCTCCATTTCCCCATAATTTTGTTTCTAATGTATTATTTGTTTCTATTAGGGCTAAGTTAAAAGTGAACTTGAGGAACGAAATGTTTAACATTGGTGAACTGCATGCTTTGAAAATAATTTGGGAAAAGTGTTTTGGATCTCAGGCCAGTACATCAATCTTCTGATAGTCATTGAAGCATTAAATGTGCATGTTTTCAGTATGATTATTAATATAATGGCATTTTTCCTCACAAAGGAACCTGAAAAATGACAACTGTGAATGAATCAATGACAGAGAGGTGCTGTGCTTTAAGTTGTGTATGGTCTGAGCCACTTCTTATAGATTATTTTCACACTATGAGCAGAACTAATAAATCTATTAATTTTTATTTTTCGTATGTTGCAACTGACTTCACTACTTTAATGTCTTCTGTTTATTTGGTCAATGTAGAATAGTTAATTTCTTAAAGTATAGTACAGCATATAAAACTATAAACTGAAACAGTATTTTAAAAATACAGTTATTGGTTAAAACGTAGTTTGTATGCAATAATGATCACAATAATAATATTTGCAAAGTACAGAAAATGAGAATACAACAAAAACAAAAATTCTTCCTTACCAATTGAATGAACATTCACGTTACGGAGTTCCAAGTTTTCTGTGATATTACTGTTTTCGAGTTTCTGTCTAATCATTTGTTCTTCTAAACTTACATTGTTGGTAGAATTGTAAGCTAAAAGAGCACGGACTTCAAAACTGCAAAAGAATTGCTGAATTAGAATATAGTAATAACAGTAAGGCATTTAAATATGATCACTGTCATTTAATATAATACACAAAAATGATAAATCAATCCTATTAATGGACTCAACAATTCATCAATTTACAAATGCCATATTGGAACATCCTGTTCTATTCTTATATTTTTCCTACAGTATCACAACTAATAATAAAAAGTCTTTCTAAAAGAAGTAAACTAATATAAAACAAAAGTTGTGCCCAAAATCATTTAAAGGTAAATTAAGTTATAAAGAGTAACATAAATATACAGTTTAGCCGCAACTCAGATAACATTAAGTGTGTCTTGATATTATGTATTTCTTTTATCCCTTTTCCCAGGGGTAAGGGGAATACATGGGGATCACAAAGAAGAATTGAAATTTTCACTTTGTCCTACTTAATCTAACTAGGATCAATGTAACAACTAATATCAATTAGGAAGCCAAAACCTAGTTTGCTTGTTTTAGTGTGTTTTAGTGATCAGATAAATCAGTCAGTACCAAAGCACATAAAAGTGGTATTTAATTTTGCACCATAAAACAAAACTACTGATTTTATTGCACAGAAATACTAGCTCTTCCTGTTATTCTATTTAGTATTATACTTTTAAAAAATGCAGTTTTAGGAAATAGTTCTGTAGAACACTGTTAAATGAAACAGATGGTTTTGTTTGATTGGATTTGCTGTTATTTTGTTATAGGAATGGTCATTCCTTGTAGTAAAGAGTATGCAGCAAGCGCATATTTATTGAGCTGGTAAACAACATCAACGGCAAAAATGCTATTTGCAAAATAAAATGGGGAGTTCACATACACAAAAAGGGAACCCTTTTGTAATACATGTCTTACCCATCTGACCTAGACTTGGTCATATGGCTACACCTAGGATATGAACGATCTTTCGGGGAAAAACAGCAGCAGCAGCAGGAACAGAAATGTGTGGCTTTACTGTGACGTCAAAAATGACATGGCATCAGTTATATAGATGGCAAATATAGAGATTTTTTAAAAAAGAATTCAGTACAAATGATGATGATTTAAAAAAAATATTTTCTCTGCTTTCCAATAGATGTAATTTAATTGGGAAACAGGACTATTGAGATGGAAAAATTAGATATGCTGTTACAGTAACAACTAAGAAAACATTGCATTTATTCAAAAGCTAATAATATATTAACAATGTGTTGTCACTTCTTTGTTGTCCAGAGATCTTTTTATGCTGCTCCAGGTGCAAAAGCAACATGTGGTTCAGGAACTGGCAAACATGTATCTGTCACCAGTGTATGATTAATGCAATCTGAACATTAAGAGCTTTTTATAACTTTGATATAAATTACTAAGTGATGTAAGATGAACAAACCACTTGTCAAGCCATTCCAGAGTTTAATATTCTATGAGAACTCTTCCATAACTCTAGTTTAAGTAGTTCAGTTGTCAGCCGGATATCTCCAACATGGGTTTTCCCTTTGATGCATGCTTGCTATCAGCTGCCATAGTAACGGGGAGGGGACACATGGCATTGGGGTTTGTGAAGTGAGCTGGTGTGATGAAGGCCCATGTGAACTAAAAGGGAGGTTTGCTCTCAAGAATTACTGCGCTGCTGAATAGAGTTGTTTACACCCAGTCAAGGCCAAACTTCCTAGAACTCCAGAGGGACGAAAGCACCTGAAGGTGCTCCACATGACACTATGCAGGACATGGACTGGACATTCAGCCTGGGTCCCTGGGGGGGGAGGATTTGGGGAATCTGTCAATATGTAACTTTCACGCCTTTTGGATCAGATCTTGCTGTCCTTTCGCCGCTATCATTTCAAACTCAGTAAAAGTACCTCTTCTCTTCCTCAATGGAGTCAGGGGTTTTCTTTCTTGGGTTTTGAATGGAGGCAGGCCTTTTCAGTCTTTGAGAAAACAAACAATACTAAAACTCACAAATGAAGGCAAATATAGATGTCCCAGGGTAATGTTGTAAGACTTGATATTGGAATACTAAAACTGTT